CAGACGGGTGGAGTCCAAATATACTGAATGAGGAAAGAACAAAGAGAGGGCACAAAGGCCTAGTGCATTACCATAAAAAATGTTTAATAAGAAATAAAATCGGTGTTGTACTCACAAACGACAATAAAGTCAAGGCACATCAAAATATAGCTGGGTCAACACCGTGCTGAGTAACAGTCCGTAATGGGAATGGGACATCCATTAGTCTGACGCCTTTCGAGGACTTGCCTCTTCCTCAGAGCCAATGTTTAATAAGAAATAAAATGGTGTTGTACTCACAAACAATAAAGTCAAGGCACATCATAAAAGAACAGCTAGGTCAACACCGCGCCTCTGAGGAAGAGGCAAGTCCTCGAAACGCGTCAGCCTATTGCATGTCTACATTCCCCATTACGGACTGTTACTCAGCGCGGTGTTGACCTAGCTGTTCTTTTATGATGTGCCTTGACTTTATTGTCGTTTGTGAGTACAACACCTATTTTATTTCTTATTAAACATTTTTTTATGGTAATGCACTAGGCCTGTGCGCCCTCTCTTTGTTCTTTCCTCATTCGATGCGTAAGTAAGATCTGTGGGATGTGAAAAAAAAGTAAAGTCCTTCTCGTTAGCGTGGAGACATCGCCAAATATCGTATATATCTTGAGATTGGATACAGTGTTGTAATGATGTTGAGTATTTCTTAGGGAGAGTTGTAGAGTCCATAGCCGGATAAGGAATGAGGTTAAAGTTTCCGCATATTAAGAGAGAACCTTGTTCAATGTTATATACAGTACTTTATTGAGCAACTTGTTGAAAAAGCGTATTTGATGATTATTTGGGGAATAAGTGTTAACCAGCGTGTGGGTTGTATAATTTATGTTGCAGATTAAGATTAGGTAGCAAACATTGGGATCTTTGATTTCTCTATGCAGAGTAAAGGAGGTTGTATCTTTGATAGCAATTAGAGTCCCTCTTTTTTATCATTGGCATTGGCACAGAAGATGTGTGGGAAATGTCTGTGAGAGCATTTAGGAGGGTTTTGTTCAGAAAAGTGTGTTTCCTGAACACAGAGAATATCACAAATATGTTGGATGGCTTCTTGCCATAGAGATTTGCGCTTCACTGGATGGTTAAGGCCCCTTGCGTTAATGGTTAAGAATGTCACTCCCATGGTAATGTGGGGTTGTTGGTGTGGAAATGGTAGATATGAAAGATTTTACTCACATTGAACAATTCCCAATTCCAATCAGACATTTTTAGAGATGTGGAGTTGGCAAGTTTCCTTCTCCATGGTTTCCTGCGCAGAAGATCGAGAGCTGTACAGACACTTCTGTGGGTTAGACTGTGATAACGTAAAAGGAATTAAACAAACACATAACGTGTATAACAAGAACATTAAGAGGCAAGACAGTGTGGGTTATTAGTACCCGAGTGCAGCATCATGCTGCTCATATGCAATCAGGGGTAAAAATAGACCTAGGTCCTAGGAGGTTCTCCGCGTCCCAGGGGAACATATTTCCCTATATTAAATGAGAAGGGAAAAAAAAAAAAAAAATGAAAGCTGCTGAACCAAACTTAATAATGGTCTCAAGAATTTTTGGCTGTAACCACTCTCCACTCTGGATCGGAGCAGTGGATATTCCTGGAAGAATATGTAGAAGGTATATCAGGGAGAATGTTCCAGGATTTCAGCAAGGACAAGCCTTTTTCCAAAGAGTCTATCACATAGGTGGTGTCTTCCTTGTGGATGGTACGTTTAGTAGGGTAACCCCATCTGTAGTTAATTCTATGGTTCTGGAGAGCTTTGGTTATAGTGGTGAGGTTTCTCCGCTTTTGAAGTGTATATTGGGAGAGGTCCGCATAAAATTGTAAATCAGCATATTCTGTGGGAATCTGGTCCTTGTTGCGCATTGCTATCATTAGACGCTCTTTAATATGAAAAAAAGTGCAGTCGCAGGATGACATCCCTTGGTACATGGTCAGGGAGATGGTTGGATTTCGGTAGTCGGTGAATTCTGTCAATCATGACTTCCATCTCATTTAAGGAATAATCGGTTTAAACATGGATGCAGTAAATTTACGGAGGTCTGCTTGTGATACAGTTTCAGGGATGCCTCTAATTTTTAAATTATTCCTCTTAGATCACTGGTGTCAAACTGGAGGTCCTCCAGCTGTTTCCTAACTACAAGTCCCATGAGGCATTGCAAGGTTGACAGTTACAAGCATAACTCCTAAAGGCGGGGGAATGATGGGACTTGTAGTTTCGCAACAGCTGGAGGGCCACCAGTTTGACACCCCTGTCTTAGATCTATCTTCCATGTCAGCTAATTTCGCTTTAACCCACTCCATTTCTTCTTCTTTGGTTTCATTAGCATCTACTAGATCATTAATGGTTACCGCAAATTCTCCCATTTTTGTTTCTCTATGTTCGAATCTACAATCCACTTCCTGTACCTCTTTAGAAAATTTATGCATACAGGACATCATGTCCGTGTGCAAAGAACTTCTGAGGGACATGAGCATGTCTTTAAGTACTGTATCCATAACTGGCTGGTTGCTAGAGGGAAATTCTTCAATAGAATCCGGCAGTTCCCTTGTATCATCTCTAGAGTTATTAATAGTATTGTCAGGGCTCACCTGATTACTGTGTCTTTCTCCATCTATTCTTGCTCTCGCTTTTTCTGGGCTGCCAGACAGTGGAGTGGAGGAGAGAGAGTGTGGGATCCTTCATTGATTCCCCTCTGTGATCGGAGAAACCTGTCAGTGAGGCTGGCGGAGATGACCTTGAGATTGTGGAGAGAGAAGTGCTGGCGCCATATTGCCTGCTCCCATGCTGCTGCTGTGTGAAGAAAGCAGTCAGTTTGTGAGGCTTCCTATCGTCCTTTCTTTTTCTGGACATGATCTGTGTGGTCCAGAGAGCTGGATCGCCAGTGCAGGGTGTTTTTTTAGGGAGTTGGAAAGCCATTTTGTGCCACTGTTTTCACCTATGGAGCTGGAACTGTGACTTCAAGCGGGCATCTTGGTCTTGCCGCACTCCCCTGGACTGACTTTTTAAAAAGGTAATGAACTCCGGAAGCTGTGCCCAAAAGAAAGATAGGCAGAGGGCAAAGGACTAGTCTTCACTATTATCTGAGGTCTCACTGCAGCTGTATTTTCCCCATTACTAACTTACCATGCCTTGTTCTGCATTGTGTCTCTGTGTGGGGGTAGCCATCTAGGTAGTCAGGGCTTTGCTTCCTCATATCAGAATCTCCAGCAACACAGTAGCAGCATCATCTCCATCAAAAATCTCCTGAGACTGAACCCAGTCATACATGGTTCAAATCTCAGCCAGTTCAGCAGGGGCGGGCCCAGATTCTAACCATCTATGGGTAGGCTGATTGAAACCAAATAGATTGTTGTACGACTTGGGTACAACCTGCCTGTCAGATTTTAAATGTGGTTATTGCTAGCGGCCAAATCACTGTGTTCTCCCCATGGGGACAGCTCTCCCCCCCCACCCCCTCCACCGGGAGAACACAAAATTGCATCATCTATGGCCTGCTTAACAGTCAGAGGCAGCAGTGCCTTTGAGCTCACACTTAAGCTATATAGCAATAAGTGCCTAGGCACACTCACATACTAGTAAGAGCACTGCTGCAGTTTGGGAAAATTCATTACAAAAGTTCAATTTTTCATAGCAACTATACATGTTAACTGCAACCAGTTAGGATGGCTTTACACCTAAGATTACTGTCACCCAGTCTGTCTTCTTAAGCCGGCTATACATAGATCAAACTTTGGCTGGTTCAGCAGAGACTGCGTACACTTGTGTACAACCACCCTATTGGATTTTTCCTGAATGATCAGTGCCCCTGGAGGCAACACTGATCATTGTATTCTGCCAGTGGGTAAGGCTGCCTGCCGGCAGAATACAATAGCTCAGCGGTAGTGATTCCCCCGTCCACATCAAATGCATGGATGAGGGAATTGGTTCATTTTTTTTTGCTCAACTCGATGGCTGCATTAAAGAAAAATGAATCTTGTATGTCTTGCCTTAGCATTGAGGCCAGCCACACTCAGGTTAGCAAACCTGTCCCAATCATTATTATTCTTCCTGATAAGCCAGCACCAAAATCCTGCTTCCCACTCCTCCCCATTCCATTGAAGCTCAACCTAATCCAGCATCACAAAGTTTTTTTTTTTCAGTCTAAACAGACTGATAGTCTTGCATTGAAAGTGAGGAATAATGTAGCACAACTAAGGAGGAATCAGCGCAAAATATCTGTATCAGGTGAATGTCATCTCATGTCTATGATATCTTCTTGCACTTCTCCAGAATAGATTTTTCTTCATAATATATCATCAGGGATTTGTGTAGATGACAGGAAGAAAAGTGCTATGTCATTAGACTGCAATATATGACTGGTGACTAAGGGAACCTCTCTGTTTTCCTCCTGGCCCTTTTTTGTTACTGTCAGTCATTCAGCTACGTTGCTGCAGGTTTTCATATTGCCTCATGGAAGTACAGTCCTGATTTGAACCCCAGGCATTTTTTTTTCATTTTGGAATGGATATTTTCCCTCAGTTTTTCTGTCATAGGGACAGAAATGAGTTGAAATCTCCCGAGTGGGGACACAGACCACAGTAAAACCTAACATTTCCACACTCTATCCTAAACTAAAAAAAAGAGAGCTATAGGGCATTAAGAAATATTTTATTAAATGCAAATATAGCTAGGGGCTCTATATGCAGTATGTTGTTTCTTGAAACAAAGATAGGTTGACATCATTTCTGAATATGGTTGAAATGCATAATATCTGTCAATAATTATCTTGAATATTTCCTGCTGATATTAGTTATTGTTTTCTCCTACACGTATATCAAACAATAATGGATATAATGTATATCTAGCTGAAGACCTTCTTAGATTTCTGTTTACTTTTTGTCATCGTTGCCAGCATTGTTGGACTTTTCTTGTCCTGGTGGCTTGTGAATACTGCGCAGTTTGTTATTTCAGCACTTTTGTCTTGTTTTCACAGCTAGAATATGTGGACTCTCTGTCCAAGCACAGCGGCTCTGCAGTTGATGTCACAATCTGCTTCTCACAAATCAAAGAGTTCTGGGCACAGCTTGCTTGGCCAAACTCCTCTGAGGCATTCGTATTTTTAACACAGCTCTCTGATGTAAGTTATGAAACAAACAAACAATGTGTACCAACTAATACCTTGAAAAGTATGCAGGTTAACATACTGATGGGTTATTTATGTAAGGCAACTTCTAATTTGGCTTTACCAGTCCTTTGGCACACCATACTATGTGTTTCAGTGTGTGGAATTAAATGCAGGAAATATACACTTTGTATGTAATATAATTTTATTAAGATAGAAAGCATGAAATACACAGATTTACTTCAAATGAAGTGCAAGCAAATTATGGTGAGAGTTTTATGCATCCCACACAGGGGGTCAGTAATACAGAGCAATAAAGGAGTGTGAACAAAGCTCATTGTCTTGTCTTCATTTCCTTCATGCCCAAATTTGATAAAAAGCACCAATTGTGCTCAACAGACGTCAAGGTACATTTTGAGTCATGTACCAACCAGGGATAATTATATAGTGCTGCCCAAAAGATTTTTGTGGTTGTACTTTTTGTGCACTTTGTACAAAATATAAATGTGTTTATGCCAAACTGTAACAAGAATATAAGCGAGCGCAAAATCGAGAACAAATATGAATACAGGCAGCTGCTGGCACTTCAGGGTATAGGCAACAGCCCCAACATAAATGTGTATAAATAAAGTGCAGCGCTATAAAAGCACAAACTGTATGAAAATATTAATATGGTAATTCTCATAAACTATATATGATCAAGAAGTATATGCAAAAGAATAAAGTGAAAATCAGTGCGGTTGTGCATATAAGTGAATCATTTATTTTGATTCACTTATATGCACAACTGCACTTTATTTATACCAAACTGTATTAATCTTCCATCTACCGGTAACTGTTAAATAAAAGGTATGTCAGGTTAAGTGGGATACTGGTGAGTAAAGATAAAAAAGAGGGAAAGAGGTGATAATCAGAGAAAGAAGGGAAATATCCAGCGGAGGTGGGAAAGAATAAAGTGAGTTGTGTTGCAGAGGTTTGTGAAAAGGCAAAGCAAGTTTGTGATAAAGAACTAAGAGCACGCTAGAATAAAGTATACAGGAGTGAAGAATGGGGAAAATGTGGTGAAGAAATTACAATTTGTTAAACTCAACAATTAAGTGGAAGATTAATCCAGTTTGGTATAAACACAGTTACAGTGGGGCAAAAAAGTATTTAGTCAGCCACCAATTGTGCAAGTTCTCCCACTTAAAAAGATGAGAGAGACCTGTAATTGGCATCATAGGTAGACCTCAACTATGAGAGACAAAATGAGAAAAAAAATCCAGACAATCACATTGGCTGATTTGGAAAGAATTTATTTGCAAATTATGGTGGAAAATAAGTATTTGGTCAATATCAAAAGTTCATCTCAATACTTTGTTATATATCCTTTGTTGGCAATGAGGTCAAACGTTTCCTGTAAGTCTTCACAAGGTTGGGACACACTGTTGCTGGTATGTTGGCCCATTCCTCCATGCAGATCTCCTCTAGAGCAGTGACGTTTTGGGGCTGTCGCTGGGCAACATGGACTTTCAACTCCCTCCAAAGGTTTTCTATGGGGTTGAAATCTGGAGACTGGCTAGGCCATTCCAGGACCTTGAAATGCTTCTTACGAAGCCACTCCTTCGTTGCCCGGGCGGTATGTTTGGGATCATTGTCATGTTGGAAGACCCAACCACGTTTCATCTTCAATGCCCTTGCTGATGGAAGGAGGTTTGCACTCAAAATCTCACGATACATGGCCCCATTCATTCTGTCCTGTACATGGATCAGTCATCCTGGTCCCTTTGCGGAGAAACAGCCCCAAAGCATGATGTTGCCACCCCCATGCTTCACAGTAGGTATGGTGTTCTTTGGATGCAACTCAGCATTCTCTCTCCTCCAAACACTGTATATGTTATATGAAGGCCACAAAAAAGTACAGCCACAAAAATCATTTGGACAGCGCAATATAATTATCCCAGGTTGGTACATAACTCAAAATCTATCCTGACCTCTGTTGCTTCCCTATGAGACAAGTAGAACTGGAAGCCCCAGTTCCTTTCTTCCACCACCTCTTTCTGTTGCAACAAACTTAATAATCAACCAAACCGAGCAGTCATGATTATAGGTCCTATACTAATCATGTTGTTCGAGGAAAGTTGGATTGTGCATGCACATCTGACTACCTTTGCCAGTCTTTATGCAACTGAAATTACTAACTTAAGGTTCTTGAAAGTGATTACTAAACTTTGAAGGATGGCCATTATGTCCTCCAAATTAAGCTGGCATTGAAATTGTCTCAGGCATGTTCTCCTTCCTCTTGTATAGCCATAATTATGAACACATGTAATGTGAGTATTCCTATTAATGGCAGAAGCTGTAGAAAAATACATTAAGCTAATTTACTAAAAAAAGAGTTGTCACACAATAAATTGTGTCATAATTCACTTTAACTATCCTGTTATGTGAAAGCATCTGCACATGATTAGGTAATTCAAGTGAACAGGAATTTGCTTTTCACTTGTTATGATGATTGAAGTGAACATTCACACAATTAATCGTGTGAAGATTCTCACCTTTAGTAAATCGGCTTGCACATCACTTCTTTTTGTGATAGCTATACACAGTGTAACCCTTTCAATCTGTATAAATGATAAGTGAAAATGAAGTTCTGATTAACTTGATGACTTGATAAATGATTTCATTGAAAAGGTGAATCTATGTTTTGTGTAAACTATAATATAGATTTTATTTTTAGATAGTTGTTACTGATTTTATGTTGCCATTTTGCATGTTAGGATATATGCAAAGCAGCAATCTATTATTCAGAAGCTATTAAGCGGAAGGTCGACAGAAGTCACCAGTCAGCGGGACAGGCTGCTGTCACAGAGCAGGTAAGAGTTGAAGAAGAGTGACATATACTTTGGATTACGCCAGATCTTTCTATGCAAAATCGAATATTTGTGTCCGACAGAGAAACCAATTGAACAGCTCACTGCTAATATAAATTTACTTGTATGTATTGTCTGCAAAGTTAATTGTAATCCCTTACATAAAGTCAGTACAAGAGTGAATAGCTATGGCATATATGATATAATATATTTTTTATAAAATTAACACTAATAAAACTTTACGATGTATAATGTCAAGTGTAGGTGTACACCTTTTAGTGTTATAGGTGTACTACATTTGTTCCTTGAAATAATGGAGACACCATTACATTATTTATATACAGTGCTCAGCATAAATGAGTACACCCCAACAGATTGTCAGAAAACCTTTACTTTCCTTTCAGAATCAACATTTTCTATGGGACACTATACTACAAAATACTCCCACAAATGTGGACCATTGATTGCAAACAAGATCTATTTGCACACACAAAAAAGTATTTTAACAAATTCATTCAAGACCATGTTGCAAAAATTAATACACCCCAATGAAAGTCTTACGAGCAAAGCTAAATTTTAGACAACAAAATCCTAATTAACACGAATTCAACTACAGGTGAGTTTAATTATTCATTAAACAGGTGTCCAGCAGACAGTTGATTATTAAAGGGCATTACTTAACATAGAAAACCCCTTCCCATTTCATGCTGTCAGCAATGGCACCACATGGAAGAGAAATGTCACAAAACTTGAGAAAGAAAATAATTTCTTTACACAAAAAAGGTGAAGGCTACATGAAGATCAGCAAAGCTTTACTTATAAGTCAGAATACTGTAGCAACAGTGATACAAAAATTCAACAAAGATGGAACTGCAACCATCTCACAGAGACCTCCAGGCTGTCCATGGAAGTTAACACCTCGACAGGAGCGTCTTCTGATGAATAGGGTTGAAGAAAATCACCATGCAAGTTCACTGCAGTTACCAAAAGAAGTAAAAAACCAAACTGGGGAGATTGTTTTCTGTTACACAATACGGCATACACTGCAGAGGAATGGCATGCATGGGTGTCGTCCACGAAGGAAGCCTCTCCTAAAGCCCAAAAAAGCCCGCCTAGAATTTGCCAGGGCCCATGCTGAAAAAGAAGACTACTGGGATTCTGTACTGTTGAGTGATGAGACCAAAATAAATGTTTTTGGAACTGATGGCTTCAAAACTGTATGGCATCGCAAAGGTGAGGAGTACAAAAAAAAATGCATGGTGCCTACAGTGAAACATGGTGGTGAAGTGTCCTTCTGTGGGGCTGCATGAGTGCTGCTGGTGTCGGGGAGCTTCATTTCATTTATGGTATCGTGAATTCACAGATGTAGTGCTCTATATTGAAAGAGAAGATGCTCCATCACTCCATGCCCTTGGTGATCGTGCACTTTTTCATGACAATGATCCAAAACACACATCTAAGGCCACTGTTGCGTTTCTGAAGAAGAAAAGGATGAAAGTGATTCAGTGGCCAAATATGTCTCCTGATCTGAACCCAATCGAACACCTATGGGGAATTCTGAACTGGATGGACTTTTGTCTTTTTTTTCAGCCAGACTAACTATGTATGTAACTATGTAACAAGTTGAGCTTCACTCTCCATCCAGCATCCAGGTTCTAAAAGAGGTTGTTCTTGAAGAATGGAAAAAGATGGTTGTTGCAATATGTCACCAACTTGTTCATTCCATGCCTGGGAGACTTAATGCTGTCCTTGCAAATCATGGAGGCCATACATAATATAGCTGTTTTCATTGTGGGGTGTATTCATTTTTACATCAACTAATTTGAGTAAAACTGACGATTTTGCAATCTAAGTTATATTATTAACCCTTACTTTCATGTAATGAGCCAAACACATTTTCTATAAAACTCTTTTGGAAATTGTTGTTGTGCTCATTGAGATATTGATTAAAATCTTACTTTTCAAAAGGGGTGTACTCACTTATGCTGAGCACTGTGTGTGTGTGTGTATATATATATATATATATATATACACACACACACACACACACACACACAGTGCCTTGAAAAAGTATTCATACCCCTTGAAATTTTCCACATTTTGTCATGTTACAATCAAAATTGTAAATGTAGTTTATTGGGATTTTATGTGATTGACCAACTCAAAGTGGCACATAATTGTAAAGTGGAAGGGGAATGATAAATGGTTTTCAAATTGTTTTACAAGTAAATATCTGAAAAGTGTGGTGTGCATTTATATGCACTCCCCTTTACTCTGATACCCCTAGCTAAAATCTAGTGGAACCAATTGCCTTCAGAAGTCACCTAATTAGTAAATAGAGTCCACCTGTGTGTAATTTAATCTCAATATAAATACAGCTGTTCTGTGAAGTCCTCAGAGGTTTAGTGAACAAACAGCATCATGAAGGCCAAGAAATGCACCAGACAGGTCAGGGATAACGTGGAGAAGTTTAACCTCCCTGGCGGTATTCCCGAGTGTAGCTTGGGGTAAACCTTCAGTACCAAAAGTGGTAACCCCAAGCTACACTCGGGAATACCCTGCAGCGTTGCTCCGAGATCCCTCTTTCACTTACCTTGTCCTGCGCTTCCGCGATGTCCCCCCTGCAGCATCCCCAGCCATCTCCTCCAGCCGATGCCGGCATCCGTCTTCCGGGTTCCGGTCCCTGCGAGCGTTGGGACGTACAGGACATACGGGGCCGGAACCGGCAGGAAATTAAAAAATTTTAAAAGTGACATTCACCAAATATACTAAAATCACATAGTAAAACATTACTGTTTCAAAGCATTTCACATACATTTTGTCCCTAGTGCTTTGTCCTGTGCCCTGCCTGCATTTTTTACTGTTCTTTCTGCATAGAAACTGAGAAAAGTCCATGGCGTCCAAAAAGCGTCCTTTTAGGTCAAAAGCGGTTTTAAACCAGCTAGAGAACAGCGATAGTAAATCAGAACTTGCAGAATTGAGTGATAATGATTCGTGAGGAAATTCGTCATCAGACACTGAAAACGATTTTGCTACTAACCTCACTGATGTGCGAACTTGGCGCTATATTTCAAATTTCAGTGTTTTTGGTTTGATTATATTATTTAATTAAATTTATTATTATTATATTATTATTCTTTTTTATGATTATTTATTATATTATAATTTTAGGATTTTGTGTTTCAAATTTTATCATACCCGGGATGTTTACTAGACTCTTGTTCGGACAGATTTCAGTGAGTTATTCCTAAAAATTACAGGCCTACAATAAAAAACAACCTATTTCCATGCAAAAAAAATGTACCGCTTTGAGCACAGAAGTATTGACATAATCAGACCCGCTAGGAGGTTAAAGCAGAGTTAGGTATATAAAAAAATATCCCAAGCTTTAAAAATCTCACGGAGCACTTTTCAATCCATCATCCGAAAATGGAAAGTGTATGGCACAACTGCAAACCTACCAAGAGGGCAAGGAGAGCATTAATCAGAAAAGTAGCCAAGAGGCCCATGGTAACTCTGGAGGAGCTGTAGAGATCCACAGCTCAGGTGGGAGAATCTGTTCACAGGACAACTATTAGTCGTGCACTCCACAAATCTGACTTTTATGGAAGACTGGCAAGAAGAAAGCCATTGTTGAAAGAAAGCCATAAGAAGTCCAGTTTGCAGTTTGCGAGAAGCCATGTGAGGGACACAGCAAACATGTGAAAGAAGGTGTTCTGGTCAGATGAGACCAAAAGTGAACTTTTGGCCTAAAAGCAAAGCGCTATGTGTGGCAGAAAACTAACATTGCACATCACCCTGAACACACCATCCCCACAATGAAACATGTGGTAGAAAACCTGTTAAGAGTTTTCAAAAGACTTGAGACTGGGGCGAAGGTTCACCTTCCAGCAGGACAACGACCCTAAACATACAGCCAGAGCTACAATGGAATGGTTTGGATCAAAGCACATTCATATGTTAGCGTGGCCCAGTCAAAGTCCAGACCTAAATCCAATTGAGAATCTTTGGCAAGACTTGAAAATTGCTGTTCACAGACGCTCTCCATCCAATCTGACAGCGCTTGAGGTATTTTGCAAAGAAGAATTGGCAAAAATATCACTCTCTAGATGTGTAAAACTAATAGAGACATCCCCAAAAAGACTTGCAGCTGTAATTGTAGCGAAAGGTGGTTCTACAAAGTATTGACTCGGGGGGCTGAATACAAATGCATGCCACACTTTCCAGATATTTATGTGTAAATAATTTTGAAAACCATTCATCCTTTACTTTCCACTTCACAATTATGTGCCACTTTGTGTTGGTCTATCACATAAAATCCCAATAAAATACATTTACTTTTTTGGTTGTAACATGACAAAATGTAGCAAGTTTCAAGGGGGTTGAATACTTTTTGAAGGCACTATATAGAGATATATATATATATATATATGTATATATATATATATATATATATATATATAAAATGTAATACACTGTAAATCATTATAGCAAGCAATAAATTAAATAATCTCTGATTTAACCTCCCTGGCGGTATTTCCGAGTGTAGCTCGGGGTAAAGTTTCAGCACCACAAGCGGTAAACCCAAGCTACACTCGGGAATACCCTGCAGCGCTGCTCCGGGATCTCTTCTTCACTTACCTTGTCCTTCGCTCCCACGATGTCCCTCCTGCAGTGTCCCCTGTAATGTCCTCCTGCGGATGCCGGCATTTGTCTTCTGGGTTCCGTTCCCTGCGACGTCAGGACGTACGGGGGACCAAACTGGTGGGAAATTTGAATGTTGTAAAAGTGACATTCACTAAATTTACTAAAATCACATACATTACTTCATCAAAGCATTTCACATACATTTTGTCCCGAGTGCTTTGTCCTGTGCCCTGCCTGAATTTTTACTGTTCTTTCTGCCTGGAAACTGAGAAACGTCCATGGCGTCCAAAAAGCATCCCTTTAGGTCAAAAGCGGTTTTAGACCAGCTAGAGAACAGCGATAGTAAAGTAGAACCACTTGCAGAATTGAGTGATAATGATTCGTGGGGAAATTCAGTATCAGACACTGAAAACGATTTTGCGACTTTGCTCAGTGATGTGCGAACTTGGCGCTATATTTCAAATTTCAGTGTTTTTGGTTTGATTATATTATTGAATTAAATGTATTACCCTTATATTGTTATTTTTTTATGGTTATTTATTAAATTATAATTTATGATTTCGTATTTCAAATTTTAACATACCCAGGATGTTTACTAGACTCTTGTTCGGACAGATTTCAGTGAGTTATTCCTAAAAATTACAGGCCTACAATAAAAAAAATACATATTTCCATGCAAAAAAATGTACCGCTTTGAGCACAGAAATATGGACATAATCAGACCGCTAGGGAGGCTACATAAAAGAACAATATTTTTAAAACAAAGAGATGAGAAAATGAATATACAAAAACCATCAACACCCTTTACCTACTTTCCTTGCAGTGGTAGAGCAGATAATATTCAGTCCAGCACCTGGCTCCTTGAAATGAATGTAGCTGTGGCTGCACTCTCCAATTCATCATGCTGATTGGCAGCTAAGCTTTTACTAAGTGACGAGTTCAAAGTTTGCATTTCAAAGTGAAATCTAATTCCTTTTTTTTTGTTTAGACCCACGCAACAGTACGTCAAAGATAGGAACTAATCACACACAGATGCAAGAATCCAAATCTATCAACATGTTTCTTGACATGGGGATAACATAAACATATGTTTCTAACAAGGAACCAGTAGGTTTTATAGTTTGAGTAATTTATCCTCCAATGATTACAACAAAGGCTTTATATAAATGACTGGTCCCACACGCAAGTCATTACAGAGGCTACCAAATCTTCAGGCACCACGACTGACTTGCACTTGTTATAATATGCTACCTTTTAGTTGCATCATCATTGGGAATTTAATTAACAGCTTATTATGGGCACTTGGATGCCCATTTATAAAGGAGTGGTAGGGGCCAACCAAAGCAATATTTTGAAAAACTCTGTTACTTTATAATGCACAGCATTTGCTTTACAAATGTGTTTTACTATTTGCTTGTGTAGGCCCCTCCTAGTTAGGTGCTAGGATTAGTTAGATTTAGTGCTGGTTCACTATGTTCAGCGGAGCTGGGTGTGTTTTGTTAGGTATATTTAGCTTGCCTCACTGTAACTAGTGTGGCTGTAATTAGTGTGTTGGGCAAATCTATCTGTGCTCACTGTATCCAGTGCAACTGATTATTTAGGTCTGTTTAGTGTTCTCAGCTGTTGCTAGTCTAATAGCTCCCTCTGCTTCCATAGAGTGGTAGAATTCCATGGAACATAGGTGTGGAGCTATGCAGATGACAGTATGAATATTCATATCGCCTTGGCCAATCCCAGGGAGCAGGGCCCTGATTACTTCTGGGTAACTGCATAAATTCTATGAGAGACTGGGCTTTTGAGTCTCTTCCTGCTTAGGATTTGTCCAGCCTGGAGGATTGCTGCCCCCCAGTGCAATGTTGCCATGTGCTTGCCTGAATGCTGAAGCTACAAAGAGCTGGATGAGAGGTTGTCTGGTGAAGATCTACTCTGGTATCACAGGAAAAAGGTGTCACTTGGATGTTGGAAGAAGGCAAAGCAACTTTGCCTGGACATTTGTGAATACAGACTGTTGCGAGAGATCTTAGAGACTTTTTGGCTGTTGTCACCCCTCTTGTGCTAGAGAGTCGGCTGTGTATGTCTGTTTTTAAGGGAACATTGACTGGTGTTCTGAAGAGGTTACTCTAATTCCTTGTGAAGGGACTCAGATCTTATTGCTCTAAAGAAAGAAGCTAATGTACTTTTAACTGCTTCTAATACAAGTCAAGTCCACAGTTTGCCACAAGCAAGGACTTTAGCTTTATAGAAAGGAGATAACCATCCTCAACTTGTACATAGTTTCTGTTTTTGGAATATCCCACTTAATTCCCTCAACCCTAGTCAAGTTCTCCAAAAAAAAAAAAATAAAAAAACCACACCCCAGGACTTGTTATTGTAGAAAAGAGTGACTGTGTTCATGTCCCTGGCTGTGGGGAAATCCACTGGGGAAGAACCTGGGTATATTTCCAGTGGCTCCTACAGGAGTAAGCGTTACACTTAGTTCTGGACTCCAAATCAAGTCAAGCCTTGTTCATTTTAATGAATAGAGGAAGGAAGAAAAAGTGCCAGGAAAGGAAACCTGTCACTTTGACAGGTTATGTGAGTGGGCTTTCCCCTATCCTGTTTTTTGCGTTATTAAGCAGAGAACACTCTAAGGAAGGCCCCCAGCTCCACACCGCATAAAATGAAGGCCCCATATGGAGTGATCACTTTAATGTTTTGTGGAGAGCAGCTGTTATAGATGCCCCATTTGGTCTTAGTTTGTTCAAAGTCTGCATTCAGCTTATCATCCTAATTGACCTTATTTTTGTACCTAATTTCATTTGTTTAGCTCTGCATTATCCTGAACAACATTGAGCATGTACGCAAATTCATGAGCAATGTCCTGAAAGACCTGGACTGGAAATCTCTGGAGACGTCAGTGGAGCAGTCGTCTGGGTCGGATGGGAAGCAGCAAGTGCAGAAAGCACTGAGCACACAGCTGCAGAACATTGACATAGATATGCAGAGAGAAGCCAAAAACATGATCGCACACCTAACAGAGAAGGTATTGTAGCTGCGATGATGATAATTATCAGTATTTTCTTAGAACAATACCTAAGGGGTTAGCAAAGTAGTCTTGTGCCGCTGAGGTCCTAGGTTCAATACTTTCCAGCAGAACTGTCTGCATAGAGTTTATATTTTTTCATTTCTGCAGGTTTTTGCCAGTGTTAGTTTATTTAAAGGGGATGTAAACTGGTAAGCATGTATTTTCATTTCTTTCTTTCTCTTGGTCAGTACAAAGAAATTTAAAGAAGGATATTTTTTTATTTTCTAGTCAGATTAATATGAAGTCTTGCATATAAATATTTTGTATTTTCATCTCAAGTCAGCAAGTGGAACTCTAGGCTCCTTTTCGTGTGTTTTCCAGACTAGACTTTTCTGTGCTTCTAAAAATTCCCAGTGTTTACAAAGCTCAACAGCTCAAGTTCAAATTTATACACACAAGTGAATGCTTTGTAATGCATCTCCATCTCTGCCTGTTCAGGGTTTTGCCCTGTATAGACAAGGCACAGCTTCACTTTAGTGATCTGCAATATTAAACCTAAAGAGGAAGTGTGTGTTTCTATATTTGCTAGATACAAGCCAGCTAGTGGTTGTTTTGTGGGAAAGTGCATTTGTTATATGTTACTAATACATTGTGCTATTTAATAATTGCAGTAGGTGCGTATGTTGGCCATGTTTGTCTTTTGCTAAGTAATTGGCTTGTCTTTGTTTTTTCACGTGTTATCATGCATTGTAATCCACAGGCCTTATGGCATGTGTCTATGAATCAAAATATTAACAGCGCACCCCAGTGCCTCACACATGGGTTACCAAGAACCATTTAAATCAAAGGCAAACCTGTGTATCTGCACCGATGTATGTTAAAACACTTAGGCATATATAGGCCCAGGGGCGGACTGACCATTTGGAAACTCGGGCACTGCCCGAGCGCCTGGGGTTAGGAGGGGGCTCCATGAGATGCCCCTGGTACCTTTTTCATAGGCAAGGACACAGGGGCCCCATGATCCCCTAATGCCCGGGGGCCCCATGAGTTGTCAGTCCGCGCCTGTATAGGTCTTAAATATATTTTTTAATTAATTTAGTGTAAGTGCAGCATCATGGAGAAAGGTAGAGAGAAGTGAAGTACTAACATTTAATCAAACTCTACTCTATGCATATGTGCTGACAAAGAACACAGTGACAAGAGCAAAGAACAAAATGAGCAGATCGATGAGCTCATCAGTGTGCTGTTCCTGAATGATTGTCGAATCAGTAGACTGGGTGCATTTTAAGCCAGTGCTGGTAACAGAAACATGTAATGACTGCAGTGGCAGTTAAAAATATGTCTGCACTGTATGTATGGTTCACAGGACTCATGAGAAGAGAAAGCCAGCACACCAATTGTAGATCCAGATAGAAAGTTTTCAAACTTTCCAATTAGATTTCCAATTGGTAACAACATACTGCTGTAATGGATGGTCAGCTCTGCATAATCCTGAACAACATTGAGCATGTACGCAAATTCATGAGCAATGTCCTGAGAGACCTGGACTGGAAATCTCTGGAGACGTCAGTGGAGCCAGATAGAAAGATAGATCCAGATAGAAAGTTTTCAAGCTTTCCAATTAGATTTACAATTGGCGTACTGATTGGTAACAACATACTGCTGTAATGGAATGGTTACAGTGTATGTCATTTTCATTATGCTGTATGCAACCTATAACATAAAGGAAATGGGTTGTCGGCAGGGGCGGACTGACAACTCATGGGGCCCCCGGCAATAGGGGATCATGGGGCCCCTGTGTCCTTGCCCAAACTCAAAAAAGCCTATGAAAAAGGTACCAGGCGCATCTCATGGGGCCCCCTACTGACCCTGGGCCCTCGGACAGTGCCGAGTTTCCAAATGGTCAGTCTGCCCCTGGTTGTCAGCTTTACATTTTTAAACTGGCAACATGAATAAAATGTGGGCATCTAGAGGATTCATGAGTGTCTTGTTTCATCCAAAACTTGCTGGCTCTATTATGCAAAAGTTTCAGCGCTGCCTTCCTCTTACTTTAAAACCATTCTGTAGTAAAGTTAAACCAAATGATCCAATAGATACAGTTACATGCTACCTAGTGATATCAAACTTTAATTATCTTCTACATTGCATTGAAAACCCTGAAGCCTGAGGCACCCTTTTATGCAAATTTCGATTGAGTAACTGATGTCGCACTTACCTAACTTCTGTGCCTTTTGCTGGCCTTCAGGGCTGCCCATTTTAGTAATTAGCCAATTGAGAAACCCATACCCCACTCAGGTTCATAAAATTGGTATCTGCAAAAAACATACCAGATTTTGGGGCACACCGTATAGAATGAGTGTGTTCCAGCACCTCATGGCATCTGCATTTGGCTGCTTCTGTCAGTTTTCTTGATCCTCTATACAGCTTTAATTATAAAGGCATATAAGACATGGGAGTTGATTTACTAAAACTGAAGAGTGCAAAATCTGGAGCAGCTGTGCATGGTAGCCAATTAGCTTCTAACTTCAGCTTGTTCAGTGAAGCTTTGCTTTAAAAAAAAACCTGGAAGCTGATTGGTTTCTATGCAGAGCTGAATCAGATTTTGTATTCTCCAGTTTTAGTAAATCAACCCTATGTTTTCTGTGCAGTGCACAAATTGTATGACCTGTAAATATAGGGTTGCCACCTCATCCCCTTAAAACCGAACACGTATAAATAACACAGGTTCTGAGGCTACGTTAACGCAGATAAGGCACTAAGTCATTTTAATTACAACCTTCATCAGCCACAGAACCTGTGTAATTAATATGTGTTCAATTTTAAACCACTTGCCTACCAGGCACTTATACCCCCTTCCTTACCAGGCCAATTTTCAGCTTTCAGCGCTGCCGCACTTTGATTGACAATTGCGGGGGTCATGCAACATTGTACCCATATGAAATTTTGATCATTTTTTTCTCACAAATAGAGCTTTCTTTTGGTGGTATTTAATCGCCACTGGGCGCTTTACTTTTTGCGCTATAAATTAAAAAAAGTGCAAAAAATTTGAAAAAAAAAAAAAGTTTATTTGTTTCTTTTAGAAAATTTTTCAAACAGGTATTTTTTCTCCTTCACTGATTTGCGTTGATGAGGCGGCACTGATGGGCACTGATAGGCGGCACTGATGGGCACTGATAGGCAGCACTAAAGGGCATGATAGGCAATACTAATGAGGTGGTACGGATAGGCGGCACTGATAGACAGCACTAATTAGGGGTCACGGATAGGCGGCACTGATATGCAGCACTGATAGGCGGCACTGATAGGTGACACTTGATGATGGGTACTGATAGACGGCACTGACTGGCATCACTTCTGGGCACTGACTGGCGGCACTGACTGGCACAACCCCTGGGCACTGACTGGTGGCACTGACTGGCAGCACTGCTGGGCTGCACTGGTGGGTGGCACTGGTGGGCAGCACTGGTGGGTGGGCACAGGGGGGTGGCACTGGTGGGCACAGGTGGGTGGCACTGGTGGGCACAGGTGGGTGGGCACAGGTGGGTGGCACTGCTGGGCACATGTAGGTGGCACTTCTGGGCACAAGGTAGGTGGCACTGGGAGAGTGGCACAGGTGGGTGCACTGCTGGGGCACAGGTGGGGGCACTGCTGGGCACAGGTGGGGGCACTGCTGGGAACGGGTGGGCGGGGCTAGTGGGCGCACTGCTGGGCGGAACTTGCGGGTGTCACTGCTGGGCACCGATCATCAGGGCACTGATCATCAGTGCCCTGATGATCGGTGCCGATCCCCGCTCTGACAACTGCCGGTTCTCGGCAGTACTTTCCTCACGATCTGACAGCGTGAGGAAAGTGCAGCCGAGAACCGGCACTTGCATTTTCCTGTGATCAGCGTGTCATTGGACACCGCTGATCACGTGGTAAAAGGCCGGTGGGATCGGCCTTTCACCACATCACGTGATCAGCTGTGTCCGTAGGACACAGCGATCCACACGGAGATCGCCGGGTGCGCGCCCCTGGGGCGCGCAGGAGAGCGCGTTCTGGGAGGACGTCATATGACGTCCACTCAGAACTGGCCGGCCGCGGTGAAGCCGTCATTCGGCTATGCGCGGTCGGCAACAGGTTAAAGTGATGAGGTGGCAACCCTGTAAACAGCGTAATTAATTGCAACCACACAGCAACTTTTGGCTTGTAAAATGTATTAACCACTTCCCATCCGGCCCATGTATATAAACGGCCAGACGGGAGCAGTGCAGGAGTGGGTTGCTGTTCACAAACGGCGCCCACCATTTTAGCCTGTGCGCACTCCCTGGGAATGAGCGGCACTGCAATCCGGTGCCTGCTCTATCCGGCGGACACAGCGGAAGACCGATCACTGTACGGGACCTCTGTGTGAGGTCCCGATCATGTGATCACTGATTGGCAAATCAGTGATCACATGAATAGTAGTAAGCAAGATGTCACTTCCTCACATCATTGCTTACTACGTGTGAAATCTGTGAATGATCACAGAGATCACATGGTACAAGGCTAGTCACAACAGCCTTGTACCATGTGACAAGCTGTGACCAATCACAGTATTTCTCAATGGCTGCAAGAATGCAGCCAGAGAGAAAGAGAAATTGCTTTTATAGCCTTTATGGGTGTAAAAGCAATCAGTGTAAATAAAAAAAAAAAAAATCTTCATCACCCCCCACAAGTAGTACAGTGTCACTATGGTGACACTGTACTGCTAGGGTGACAGTATATTAAAAAAAAAAAAATAATAATAATATAACAAAATAAAAATATATATTTTTTTAAATTATAATTTTTTGGTTATAAACTAGTTTGGGTTATTTTTTTTTACTAAAAAGATAACTGAATACATTTTGGCCAAGATTTATGCAAAAAGATTATTTATTTGCAAAATTTTATAAGATAAACACTTTTTTTTTTCAAATTTGTGGACTTTTTCATTTATATAGCAAAAAAATAAAAATCCCAGTGGTAAATAAATACCACCAAAATAAAGTTGTATCTGTCTCAAAAAAATGCTGAAAAATTCATATGGGTACAGTGTTTCATGACTGCGCAATTGTCATTCAAAGTGTGATAGCGTTGAAAGCTGAAAATTGGCCTGGACAGGAAGGGGGTAAAGTGTCCGGACTTGAAGTGGTTAAAAACACTTTAGCTCGTCTCTATTTCCATCATTTCACTATGTTTTGAAGTGAACAGTTCCTTAAGTGGTTGTAAACTCCTGCATAAGTTGTAACTGTTTATCTGCAGCCATCTCTTCTCTACATCCATTCAAAGTAAACAGTTTACACGGGGTTTCTGAGCTTTTGGAGGCAGGGGGCAGGTATCTGATGTTACAAAGTACACAGCACAGTGAGGAGAGCTGAGTGTAATCTGAGACCTGAGTGGAGAAAAAGGACATACATACATACACACACCTTTACAGCCTCATAGGTAATGACCTACTGTGTGTTGGAGGGGGCATGGCTATCTCCCAGGATTACCTGTGTACAGATAAATGATCTATAGTGACTCAGATAGGGAAGGAGGAGGGTGGAGAGAAAAAAAACAGAAATCACACTAGGTGCTTTGGACTGAGGCAAATACACACTATAAAAAAAGTTTGTTTTTTTTTTTCATTTCAGAGGTTTTACAACCACTTTAAGGTTGTTACAGAACTAATTTTCATAAACAATCAGAATAAAATGTTTAAAGTTATCACATCATAATATAGACTTTTAGTTTGTATTATACCTCTGTGAAATTTGCAGCACCAAACTCCCAGCTGAACTTGATATGTAATAGACACACATGCATGCTGATAGGCATTCATTAATAAACTATTAAATGTAATTTTTAGAAGAAAACAATGTAATACCTAAATAGTTTATGGTATAATTCTCTTGCATTCCTCTGTACAGCTCTGACTGTGAAAGGGAGAGAGGTGCTGACAAGGAGCATGCTAATAGGAGGAGAGAGCAGAGTGACCACAGAGAGAACCTAATAGGCAGGCACTTGTTCTTTTACTATCCAGTTAGGTTGACAGGGACAGAGAGAACTCCACTGCATTTTTATAGTCTAAAACAGTAACAGAGAAAGTGGAGTCTGCTTCCTGGCTTTGCTGTCTGGTAGGGCAGGGTAAATCTCAGAACTGGATGGACACAAATGCAAACATTTTGGCAAGTAAAACAGCTCCCTTAAAGTATAAGGTATTAAGCCCAAATGCAAACATTTAGTACATTGCAACTTACCAATTCTTAGAGGAGATGGCTGCATTCATTTCTCTTTTTTAGGCTATCTTTCTTCTACATTCATCTGGTGATCTAGCCAGTAAGTCTGCTGTTTTTCAAAACAAGCTCTCCAGCAGAATGTATACATTACAGCAGACTTACTGGCTAGATCACCAGATGAACGTAGAAGAAAGAAAGCCTAAAAAAGAAAATGAATGCAGCCATCTCCTCTAAGAATTGGTAAGTTGCAATATACTAAATACTAAATCAATTAACACTGACATGGGTGCTTACATGGTCAGCTTTTATTTATTTATGAGAAACCTTTATCTCAACATGGAAAAAAAATGTTTGCTGTAACTGATTTTAAAGTATTAGCTGGAGTTTGTCTTCAATTTGTTAGTGTATTTACATTTGCTAGTACATCTAACATGCCACTCCTTAACCTCCCTGGCGGTATTCCCGAGTGTAGCTCAGGGTAAAGTTTCAGCACCACAAGTGGTAACCCCGAGCTACACTCGGGAATACCCTGCAGCGCTGCTCCGGGATCTCTTCTTCACTTACCTTGTCCTGCACTCCTGCGATGTCCCTCCTGCAGTGTCCCCTGTAATGTAATCCGCGGGTGCCGGCATCTGTCTTCTGGGTTCCGTTCCCTGCAACGTCAGGGCGTACGGGGACAGTACAGCGGGAAATTTAAAAATGTCAAAAAGTGACATTCACTAAATATACTAAAATCACATAGTAAAACATTACTGTATCAAACCATTTCACATACATTTTGTCCCGAGTGCTTTGTTCTGTGCCCTGCCTGCATTTTTTACTGTTCTTTCTGCCTGGAAACTAAGAAACGTCCATGGCGTCCAAAAAGCATCCGCTTTAGGTCAAAAGCGGTTTAGACCAGCTAGAGAGCGATAGTAAATCAGAACCACTTGCAGAATTGAGTGATAATGATTCGTGGGGAAATTCGTCATCAGACACTGAAAACGATTTTGCGACTTTGCTCAGTGATGTGCGAACTTGGCGCTATATTTCAAATTTCAGTGTTTTTGGTTTGATTATATTATTGAATTAAATTTATTATTATTATATTATTATTTTTTATGATTATTTATTATATTATAATTTATGATTTCGTATTTCAAGTTTTATCCTACCCGGGATGTTTACTAGACTCTTGTTCGGACAGATTTCAGTGAGTTATTCCTAAAAATTACAGGCCTACAATAAAAAAAACGACATATTTCCATGCAAAAAAAGTACCCGCTTTGAGCACAGAAATACTGACAGAATCAGACCGCTAGGGAGGCTACCAGGAGGGGTGTTACTGGCCAGATCACCAGGGGAAAACAGAGGGGAAAAGCCTAAAAAAAAAAAAACTAATGCAGCCACCACATCTAACAATTGGTAAGCTGCAATATATTACATTTTTGGTTTTAATATCATTTAAAATTTATTTCATCTATATATTTAGCTCTTTTCCTGGAGTTCAGCTTTAACTTGACAATTAAAGTGCAGATGGGAACACACGTTCTTCAAGCTACAACACTGGTCCAGGTTTAGTACTCTCACTAAAATCATAGAATTTCTGATGCCAGCACTTTGCAATTAGATGAGAATATTCTTGGTTTTATCTTTCTATTATCCATGGACACCCATGTAGTCAGCTGTATATGTCATACTCTACTACTCTAGTTCAGCTGATGCTTTCTTTCTCTCTCTTTCCCCCTACACCATAGGTGAATAGCCTCGACATCTGTGTGTGCAAGGCAGTCCAATGAATTCCAGATTTTTAAACAATCATTCTTTTCTTTGGAGCCACTAAACACCCATAGCTCTTCATCCTGAAAATGTCAACTCGCTACTCTTACAGATTGCTTTTGCTTTGCCAATAATCTTCAATTAGAGGATCTCTGTGCATTTAGTGCCTTGTAGTCCCAGCACCTAGGCCTACTATTAAATGAGTTTCTAAATGTGTATATATATATATATATATATATATAATATATATATATATATATATACAGTATATATATATATATATATATATATATATATATATATATATACATATACACACACACGCATATATACACTATATTTATGTATTTTATATATATATATATATATATATATATATATATATATATCATAAAGTATCATTTAGGCTGCATGCACACTACAGGTTTTTTGTTTGGAAAAAATGCAGGATAAAAATCATTGGCAACAGAGTTTTTTAGTAGTGTCTAGAAGCGTTTAGGACAGTTAGCATTTTATTAGCATTTTTACAGTACATGTAGAAAAAAAAAAAGAAAGGTAGACAAAAGCTGTTAGGAGTGTTTTAGTAACGTTTAGGTGCATTTAAGAGCGTTTAGGAGCAATGAGTTTTTTTTTTCCACCAGAAAAATACTCCCAAAAACACTTTTTTTTTTCTGCTCTTAAATGCTGAAGCTTAAAAAACGCTACTAGCCTAAAATAGTTGCATGGATACATAGGATAACATTATTTAGCTTCTAGGAGCTTAAAAAGACGATAGTGTGCATGAAGCCTAAAGCAGGGGTGTGATAATTGGAAATACAACTAAATGTTGGGAATAGTATTCCTTTTCTTTTAATGATATGAACTGTTTTCTTTGTGTAAATGTGTATAATATCTACATTTTATAAATGAAAGGTCTGTTATCTCTACAGATGATCGGAGATATTAAGAAATACATACAACACATCAGTCTGTCTCCTGACTCAATTCAGAATGATGAGGTATGTATACAAATCTGCAGAATACGTCCAGCAGAAGTAGAATAATTTGTGGTCATGAGACTGCAGACCGCACCCCCCCCCCCCCCCCCATTCCAAAAATACGACCATTAAGAAAGAAACCATTAGGCAGATTGTGGCGAGAAATGGCACTTTATTGGTGTTACACAATATAAACCATGTATAAATCTACAATAACCGTTGATGAAATTCAAACATGCAAAATATAATAAAACACCTTCTTCTGGCTCAGTTATTGGAACTCGAGCCATCACATAAAACATCTGCACTTCTGAAAACGTCCCCCCTGACTCCAGGGTGACAGCACCACACAAAGTGCATGCGTCAAAAGGGGGGGGGGCTCTTCTGCTTGCAGGCTTGTCCAAATGATTCAGGTGCCCTTATATCCTGTCAGCCAATTCTCCAGAAACTTCTGTAACTCCCAATTGGATCTCAGGAATTCTGCTTAACAAAATTTAAAGGGGCCAACCACTACAAACAAGCCCATTTGAGAGGGGAGGGGCGGGGGGCGGCCTCAATCCTACGAAAATGGTCCCAAAGGTTTGTGCTCACTTTTGTCACTTGTTGCTTATATTTACAAAGATATATTCTCTCTCTCTTATATATATATATATATATCACACACAGTATTGAACACGCCACCATTTTTTTAGTAAATCTATTTCTAAAGCTGCCATTGACATAAAATATTCACCGCATGCCAGAACAACCCATGCAATTCATCCATGCAAAGAAACCAAAACAAGTAAAGAAATTAAGTTATGTGTAATAAAATGTAATGACAGGGAAAAAGTACACTAACTACTTAAAAATCCTTTGTTGGTAATGACAGCTTCAAGACGCCTCCTGTATGGAGAAAAACTAGCTGCATGCATGGCTCAGGTGTGATTTTGGCCCATTCTTCCACACAAACAGTCTTCAAATCTTGAAGGTTCCGTGGGCCTCTTCTATGAACTTGGATCTTTAGTTCTTTCCATAGATTTTCTATTGGATTCAAGGCGGGTGATTGGCTGGGCCATTCTAGCAGCTTTGTTTTCTATCTTTGATACCAATTGAGAGTTTCCTTGGCTTTGTGTTTGGGATCATTGACTTGCTGAAATGTCCACCCTCGTTTCACCTTCATCATCCTGGTAGATGACAGCAGATTTTTATCAACAATGTCTTGGTACATTTTCCATTTATCCTTCCTTCAATGCCATGAGGTTTGCCAGTACTGTATTCTGAAAAACAGCCTCACATCAACAAGTCCCTGTCGGGACTTGTAGTCTCTCATTCACAGATGACTGTGAATGAGTGATGCGGACGTGTGGGCAGAGCCCCGCACGGCCATGTTGTTTTACAATTTGACAGCTAACGAGGGAGGAAAAGATCCCCTGATAGCTGTCAAAGCGAGAATGGGGGGGGGGGATCGGGGGCTGGTCTGAACGTAACATCTTACATGTTACACCAAAATATGGGTGTAACATTACGAAAGGTGAACTTATCTTTTAAACAGATGTAAACCCTAAGTGAATTACATTTTTGCTAAAGCATTATTCATATCAAAACATTACTTTTTTTTTTTTTTAATTAAATACTTCTTTTTACCTTTTTTTCAATGGTTTTTTTTATTGTTAATATTAGCAATTTGCTAATATTTGCAGCCTCTTTTTGCCACCATCAGAAACCTATGTTACAAAGTGACAATGCAGGAGAGCCTCTAGAAGACTGTTTTTAATTATAATCAGATTTTAGTGATTGGGTTGATTAATACTTTAATTATGTAGTGATAAACAAAGTTCTGTTCTGTGCCTCAACACCTCATATGTAGTTTGCTTGTTATGGATTGCTATACTGAATATACTGCCATTACTTGTTTATCATCCTAAGATACAAGTAGGACCATCCATGTTGATAGCTAAGAAAAGTGTTTTAGAGAATGTAAATAAGTTTGCATACATGTTTGGTGGTGTTAACCACTTCAGCCCCAGAAGGTTTTACCCCCTTCATGACCAGGCCATTTTTCCTGCATTTCAACTGGTAATTTCGCGGTCATGCAACGCTCTACCCAAACAAAATTTATGTTCTTTTCTTCACACAAATAGAGCTTTCTTTTAGTGGTATTTTATCACCACTGGGCTTTTTATTTTTTGTAATATAAACAAAAAAAGGCCAAAAATTTTGGGGGAAAAAAAATCATGTTTTCTACTTTCTGTTATTAAAAAAAATAACCACTTTAACCACTTGCCTTCCTGAGGATTTATCCCCCTTCCTGCCCAGGCCATTTTTTGCGTTATGGCGCTGTGTTACTTTAACTGACAATTGCGACATTGCGCGGTCATGCAATGCTGCACCCAAATGACATTTCGTCCTTTTTTTCCCATGAATTGAGCTTTCTTTTGGTGGTATTTGATCGCCTATGTGCGCTATAAAAAAAAGACCGACAATTTTGAGAAAAAAACTATATTTTTGACTTATTGCTATTAAACATGTCCAGTAAAAAAAATTAAAAAATCAAATTTCATCATAAATTTAGGCCAAAATGTATTATGCTACATGTCTTTGCTAAAAAAAAAATCCCAATACATGTAAATTAAGTGGTTTATGTGAAAGTTATAATGTTTACAAATGGCGGTGTATATACTAGAATTTGTTTTCTTTTACTAATAATGGTGGTGATCAGCGATTTATAGCAGGACTGCCGCAGACATTCTGACACTGGGGGGAACTGACATCCCCAGTGACACCAATACAGTTATAAGTGCTAAAAAAAGGGGGCAGGAAGTGTTAACATTAGGGGCGATCAAAGGGTTAACTGTGTGCTGGGAGTGTTTTGGGGGGGGGGGGGCGGTGTGTTGGTGCTTCGCTGCAAGCACACTGCTCTGGATGGCTGTGCTCATCCAAAGCAGTGTGCCCGAGCCGGCAGGGAGGAGGCCAGTCGCCCTCCTCCCCATCGGAGATCCTCGGTAATCATCGGGCGCCGGCTGGTACTCACTGGCCGGGACCCAGTGATTGACAGCTGAGGCCGCAAATGGTGGTGTGCGTGCCCTCTACCCAGAAATGCAAAATCACGTATATACATGTATATCTGCTATAGGGCAGTGGGGAAGCGGTTAAAAAAAATCCAATATGTATATATTAATTAGTTTGTGTGAAAGTTATAGCGTCTACAAACTATGGGTATATATATTGTAATTTACACAGCTTTTACTTTCTGACTGCCACATTTCTTGAGGTACTAAAATGAGAGGCATTTCAAGTACATTGAAGATTTTATTTTTTTGCCACAAGTTTTTGGAAAATGACACAAAAAAATATTTTTTTTACACAAAGTTGTCACTTAAATGATACTTTGCAAACACATAGGAATGCCATGGGAATGTGTGGAATAACACCACAAAACACATTCTGCCACTTCTCCCGAGTATAGGGATACCACATGTGGGAGACTTTTTGGCCTAGCCACATACAGGCCCCCAAAATGCAATGGCCACCTTCAGGATTTCAAAGGGCATATTTCCTCTTGTCACTTCCTCACTATTATTATTTTATTTATTTCAGGTACTTATATAGCACCGTCAATTTACTCAACACTTTACATATATATTGTACATTCACATCAGTCCCTAACCCTCAAGGGATGTACAATCTAAGGTCCCTAACTTACGTTCATTCATACACATATTAGGGCCAATTTAGACAGGATCCAAGTAACCTACCAGCATGTCTTTGGAGTGTGAGAGGAAACCGGAGTACCCGGAGGAAACCCACGCAGGCACAAGGAGAACATGCAAACTCCAGGCAGGTGGTGCCATGGCTGGGATTCAAACCAATGACCCTAGTACTGCCAGGCAGAAGTGCTAACCATTTAGCCACTATGCTGTGCTTTTGTGTAATATCCAAGGCCCTGAAATGCCTGGATATTACACAAAACCCCATGACCCCATTTCGGAAAGCAGACATTCCAAGGAATTGAATAAGAGACATGGTGAGTATTTTGCAGATATCATTTTTTCTCACAAGGTTTTGAAAAGAAAAAAAAAGAAAAGAAAAAAAAACATTTTTGTTTTCTTTCTTCATTTTCCAAAAATTTGTGGAAAGTGAGTTCTGCAAAATACTCACCATGCCTCTTAGCAAATATCTTGGAGTGTCTACTTTCCAAAAAGGTGTCATTTGGGGAGTGTTTGTGCTATCCTAGCATTTCAGGGCCTCTGAAACTGTGTTAGGTAGTCAGGAAGTATACTGAGGAAATAATGCTTATAGGATTTTGGGGTCCTATATGTGGTTAGCCTGCCAAAAAGTCTCTTACATATGGCATTCCCATCCTTGGGGGAAGTAGCGGAATGTGTTTTGGGGTGTAATTCGACATATACCCTTGGCATGTGTAAGAAATATTTTGTTAAAGTGACAACTTTGTGCAAAAAAGAAAAAGTGTCAAAAAGTAAAATCTTCCATGCACTCAACATGCCTCTCAGCAAATATCTTGGGGTATCTACTTTCCAAAAAGGGGTCATTTGGGGTGTTTGAACTGTCATGGCATTTTATGCTCAACATTAGAAGCTGTCACGGATCCAACCCACACGCACACACCCAAAGCGACTAGCTAACCGAGGCGCGCACGTGCGGCCGTGACTTGGGGTAAGAGGGAATAAGGGGGACTTAATCTGAATATATATAAGACCAGCCATGATATACTTTCACAACCCACACTACCTCTGGCCACCACTAGAGGGAGACTCCACTCCAATCCAGCTGGCCGACCACATACAGGCAGATACAAATCTTATATACAATCTGGTGCACGCTAAGGGTTGAGGAGCAGCCTAGCGATCGGCACACCCTTCTAGGATTCCTCCAGCTATCCTACAAGCTAGAACCCCCCCGGGGTCTTGTTGGCCCCATATCTCTCCATAAAGAGGATCTGTCACTGCTTATTTCTATAACAAGGGATGTTTGCATTCCTTGTGATAGGAATAAAAGTGATAAAAAAAATTAAAGGAACAGTGTAAACAAAATGTAATAAAATAAATTTAAAAACAAATGTTTAAAGCGCCCCCGCTCCCCCGTGCTTGTGCAGTGGTGAACACATACATAGGCCACACCCACATATGTAAACGGTGTTCAAACCACACATGTTAGGTATCACCACGAACGTCAGAGCAAGAGCAATAATTCTAGCACTAGAACTCCTCTGTACCTTTAAACTGGTAACCTGTATAAATTTAAAAGCATGACATGTTGGGTATCTACTCGACGTAACATCATCTTTCATATCTTATAAAAAAAGGGGTATATTTTGTTTTTCATTTTTAAAAAATATATACATTTTTTAAAACTGTCCATTTTGGTTTCAGTTTTCAGCCAAGTGCATCCTGAATTTTCGGTTTCGGTTTTGGTACCAGAATTTTCATTTCGGTGCACCACTAGCATATACATTCTTTTTTTTATTTAACTGCGGATGAGAAATCTCCTCCAGCAGGGCTGCACGCACTGTCAGAATAAACAGATTGGTGCTGCAGCTGAATGGTGTTCCTGCAAACAACGGTTAACAATAAAACACAATAATAACAGAACATTAATAAAACAAAAATTTTTTTACTTTTTTTTCTTTGACCCTATTTAATCCTTTTTATTTTCTTTACTTTTTTTTTTATTTTTTTATTTTTTTCATTTATTTTTAACATTTTTGGAACTATACTGCATTATACTGCGTATTGCTAGTTGAAATAAATAGACACCTTTTTTTGTACCAGTGTCTAACTTTGTGGGGGAACTAAGTATGGATTTATCATTTGGTCATCTAAGTCCATCCCTCCCATGTTAAGGTTTTAGTCGCAGACACAGCCAGAGTCTTCTCAACAACGCCAGATGCCATGCTATTTTGGGTCATTGTGTCTGTGTGAATGGAAGACAGGACGAAAACATCTCATTTGTCCTTCCACTTCACTGTGAGCAATTCATCATTTCTCATGCGGGCTTTCTCCCCCTTTCCAAGTCGGATGTGTACAAGCCGTTCCACAAAGTTCTGGCGATTAGGTCACATGGGGCCACATGAGCAAATTCCAAGATTGTAAAAATGTCTAAATAGTGGCTTGCTTGTATATAAGTTGTCCACATGTAAATTCTACCCTTTGCAGAACAAAGATGACACCAAGTCCCATACTATCTTGCCACTGCTCTCCATGTAGTCTGGGCAGTTGGGCTCTGCTTCACTGTCTCTTCCCTCATAAACCCTAATTGTATATGTATAGCTTGTGGCCCTCTCCCAGAGCTTTTACAATTTGACCCCATATCTGGCACGCTTTCTGGGGAGATACTGTTTGATTGGAAAGCGGCCAGTAAAATGAATTAGGGACTTATCCATGCAAATGTTTTGTTGAGGTGTATACACATCTGGAAATTTCTCAGTGAGGTGGTTTATGAGGGGCCAAATTTTGTAGAACCAGTCATGTTCAGGGTCACCCCGAGGATGACAGAGTGTGTTATTACTGAAATGCATGAAACGCATTATCATCTCATATCTGTTCCTGGCCATCACAGCAGAGAACACGGGCATATAATGAATAGGGTCTGTGGACCAATATGACCGCAACTCATTCTTTTTTGTAATACCCATGTTGAGGTTTAGGCCCAAAAAAGTGTTACATTCGTAAACTATGATAGGTTTCCATGCGAATGGTCTGGCAAGAGCTGAATTTGGGTTGGCAGCGATATATTGTTGTGCATATAAATTGCTTTGGCCCACAATCAAATTATACAAATCTTCAGTAAACACCTAAAAAAAATCAAGGGGAGTAGTTAAATTTTCTGTTTCCACCTTAATTCCATGTTAGGCAGTGAATGGGGGAAGTACGGGTGTTGCAGAATCTCCTGCAACGAATGGCCGGGGAGGGTGGTCAGCGGGGGGCACACGCATGTGCGCTCCAAACCCGGAAGAGCAGAGTGACATATGGGTCTGTCGCTCTGCCTGTAGCTGCCGCTCATCTGCAGTACATTGCGGGTGGGCAGCAAGTGGTTAAACAAATTGGAAAAATAAATAATTTTTCTCATACAAAGGTAACAAGAAAAGATGTTGCCTTTACATTTATTCCATAACTCCTCAGGACTGGTCAGACAATGGCATTCAATCTTTTTCTCAAAAAAAAAAGTTGACAAAGGCTATATAACCTTTCCCTACTGCATCTAGAGCCAAAAAACAAAGTTTTAGTTGAAGTTGCATTTTTTTTGTCTCTTTGTTAAGAAAAAAATAACATCAAATTGGTCTCCAGCTTTCTTGTCTTTATTGTACCTTCAGGAGTACGGAGCCTCCACATAAGCACAGCCGGCATCTTGCTGTCCAAGATCATAAAGACTTGACTCAGAATTCCCTACTGATTTCACCTGTTCACCTTTCTTATATGAAACTGTCAATTTACTGTGATTTTTTTTAACAGTTTAAATGTACTATGCTGGTGCTCTTCTTTCTCTTTTTTTCTAAGCTGAGTTAGAAAAGACAGCTGGAATCTGAAATCCGATGGACAAACAATCATATGTTTTCCAGTTTTTATAAATCATGCCCAATTATTATGGCAGGTCATTAGAGAGTCTGATGGTTTAGAAACAGCAGCACACAGTAGAGCATAAGCAATGCACTACTGTCACTGGTCCAATGCCAGGCTTTGCTTTGTTGAGTATTGTGGTGTATTTTTAGCATGCTGTCAGTGTGATTGCTGTCGTGTTTTCTGAGAACTCGCAAATACGTGGATAATTATAGCGATAATCATAATTAATGTGGACTTTACAGCTCAGCCATTCAAACATCCGTAATTTATCTGTCATTTTAATCACTAACATATGGTGTATAATCTGTTTTAGGCTGTGTCTCCTCTCATGAAATATCTAGATGACAAATTAATTATTTTGAGTGAAACTTTGGTGAAAGAAAACCTGTACAGGTAAGATAAGGACGTGTTATACAAAAGTAAAGCTTAAAGCTACTGGGAACTAGATCTCATCAACAAACCCTCATAACCTCTTAACTTATGGCTCTACAACCAACACCCCCATGCCCAAATAATCACACCACACCATCACATCATATCCTATACATCCACAATCCACCACTCACATAATCTTCTGTTATTACCCTCATATCCAACACCTCTACATCCCATAATCCCTTCATACTTCCCCTCACATTCAGCCATCCATAACTCCTTTAACCCTTGCCAAATCTCCTTAACACCTTCTATCTAAGACCACCCTTTATACCTCCCTTCATAAACAAACTCCACCCAGTTGCTCATTTTGTGCAGGCATCCAACATTCCCCTGTTGTTTCAGAAGCCCACTAGAACTTATAGTGTGTGCATGTCTCACATACTAATGTAGGAGCATGGTTATCTTGTCAGTAATCAGAAAGATGTATAGAGACTCTGAAGCCATCTGAAGCAAGGACCTGTGTTGTCAATGACCTTCCCAGTTCCAACATAAATAGGACCTACTAGGGGAAGGAAGAGCTGACCAAGGGCTGAAAACCACTTTGAAGCCATAACACATTTTGGTCCAGGAATGTCCAGTGTATCTAGTCTCTGATTCACACCTAGCTATGTCCAATGTAAGAGACCCCTGAAGGGCAGTTACCAAAAACTAAATTTTTTTTTTTTTTACTGTGCTTTGGTTTTAAGATGGAAGGGGTTGCATATACAGTCATGACCAAAATTATTGGCATCCCCGCATTTCTGTCAGATAATGCACCATTTCACCCAGAAAAATTGTTGCAATTACAAATGTTTTGGCATTCTCATGTTTATTTCTTTTGTTTGTATTGGTATGACACAAAAAAGTGGAGAAACAAAAATCCAAATCTTACACATTCCACGCAGCAGGTAGTAGACATTATGGGGTATATTTACAAAAAAGGCAAACAGACTGTTCACCAGAGATTTGTCCCAGATCTCAAAGAGTGAGATTTCACTTTTTAAAGAATACCCAATCAAATGGGAAAATAGTAAAAATGTATGCTTGTACATGAATGGATGATGGAAACCAGAAGAGCTTCACCTCATGTGCTAAGCTCTGGGAAACTTTTCTTGCCAAGAGCAACTTCCTTTGCAAAGTGAACAGCTTATTTGTCTTGACTAAGTCAAGTCCATTACGTCAATACCAGAAATGGAGAAGTTGCTTCTGTTAAGCAGGGTATACAAGGTTCAGATTCTTCCATCCACACAAACAAGGTGGATGGAGTAATGTTCCCCACTGCAACATTGTATTGAGTTCCTGCTGTCAGAATACAAGGATTAGTGGCTGCAGTAGGTGAAAGATTTCCAGTGTGGCCATTCAACAGAAGTCAACCTAATGATTGACTTCACTTGAATAGGGAGGACCGCTCACAGATCAAAATTTGGCTAGTCCCTATTTAACCAGCCAAATATCTATCCATCTGTACCCACCTTTAGCAGATGCTTAGCTGTATAAGCAGCCCGTAGGGCTGCGCCGACAGTCCTTCACTGAGGAATCATCTCATGTAGATGGTGTCAGGCCAGAGCCTACTTGGGAAAAACATCACACAGGTGTAGACAGCTTGCCTCAATCACTGTTGTGCTCCCTTGAGATAAATGGAACTGGCAGCATCTGTCTGCACTGCTCTCTTCATCCCCCTGAAGATGTCCTGCCCTGAGGGCTGTCTGAACCTGCATGCTTGAACACCCCTCTAATGCCAGGAGAGAGTAAAAGCTTGGATATACCCTGGAAAGGTTAGTGTTAGTAGCTAGTGGTATCACTAGAGTTAGTGCTTGGGTTTCAGATTTAAAGGATAAATAAACTCAAGAACACAAAAAAACATATATTGCTGCTTCCTAATCCCTAAATGTGGTGACTATACTAGTTTTCATTTTACACCTGGTTCACATCTGTGCGGTCGTGCGGGCCACGATTTGCGCAGGCATGAGAGCCCATTCATTTGAATGGACTCCCGTACCCAGGAACATGCAGGGAATAAGTCCCTGCACTACTTGAGAAATCTCAGCCCGCATGGGAACCGAGGTTCCCAGTACGGTTACGATTTCCAGTGCAGGCAGTGTGCCATTAGAATTAATGATACCCGCCTTCAGGTACCACATTCCTCTGTGTGGGTGTTGCGGCTGCAGATATTTTGCAGGTTCTGCAGCAGCAGCACCTCCCGCACAGATGTGAACCAGGGATTAAGGCTAAGAGCATTTTTTAAACAAGTACAGAAAATAAATGTGAATCTTAACAGAAACACAGTGTCCTTGTCATTTACTGTGAGCTGAACAGAAAGCACAAACAATATTACCTTCCTTTAGTAAACTAGTAATCCCCACCCCCATTTAATGGAGATGAAATGACAAGACATGTTTGAAGATCAGCCTTGGTGACAACTATGGCTTCTTCCATAGATAGAGTTCTGTGAGCTTAGCCCCCTAGGGGAGAAATCTGTGTTATTAAGTGAAAATTAAGGTAAAAAGTCTGAAAATGGAAACAGATACAGCCACCACATCTGATGAATGGCAAGCTACAATATATAAAATTTTAGTTTTGGGGGGTTTTTTACATTTACCTTCTGATGTTTGAGCCTTTGGACCCCATTTATGCTTCAAAGCTATCATTGCTCACTTTTAAAGGCTACCTCTCAGTAATTTCTCTACAAATTTCCAGTGTCTCCGTGTGTAAACCAGTATGAGTGAAATGTGTAAAATCAGGGCTGTTCTAAGGTGGGACTTTTGCAGCATGTTTGTTTGACTTCCGTAAAGTACGTTTTTTATTACAGTGGCGTAATCATTGTACATCCCATTATTTTTCTGGCACACAGCGCACAGTGCGAGGACACGCTTGTTGACAAGCACCTGATATACCTGATACAGAGCAGAGGATATGAGCTCTGAGAATGGTGTAATCCTTTAAGCATTCTACTAAGTCCAGTATTTATATCATTTGCTGGACTTTCCTAAATTGTTGACATTAAGAGGCAGGGTGGATCACTAAATTGGCGTTAGCCATTACTTTAGGTAAAAACAGGGCTTTTAACTCTACTGAAGTCACTGTTAGCCATTAGTAGAGTAGTATTAGGAAATGAAGAGTATGTTTAATTTACTGTGCCAGGACCAACATATGGTTTACCTTTGATTAAATCCAGTTACATTACCACATCATACACCAGAATTCCCTGAAAGTTGGTATGCTTCTGGTCAAGAAGGGAAGTTTGTTAAAATGGATGCAGTTTAATTTAAGCAGTGTTGCAGGTATTGCATTAGCACTACGTTTTGATGTCAGAAAACACTTTTGAGTCACAAATATTTCACAGCAGTAATATTATTATATATCCTTCTATACCTGGTCATTCTCTTCTTCACAGGGTTCTTGAATCTCTCTGGTGGCTCCTGCTGAAATTTATAATTGATGCTGTGGATTCAAACAGAGGAGTTTCAGTGGAGTTCTATGGAAGATTTTATTACACACTGGAGGTAAATCATTTAGTAAAATGTACTACTGCATAATTACCAGGAATAGTTATTGGGCTTGATTTATGGATGTCTAAAGGAGGTCCAGTTATTGTTGCTAAAAACAGTTTGTTTTTTTTAAAAAAAAGGTTGTTAAGATTTTGCATTAAACTTACAAAACCATTGCCATCTAGAACAAGAACGATGGCAATAAAATCTGCTACACAGAGCCCAAGTAGCAATGAGATAACACAAGGGTAGACTATGTCACAAGATAGAAAAACATACATCTCCTGAGCGATCAGGATCAATCACAGATTAGAAATGGGCAATTGCTAACAACAGTTGGCCAGACTTTACTTTTCATTCTCGCACTAATAACTATGGTACAGTACTGTTAAAATCTCTGGTGAAGTGAAAATCCCAACACCCAGTAAATATTATCAAAACAGTTTTAAATATTTGTCATTCCGTTATTATATTTTACCATCATCATATTTTCTCAAATTTTGAGAAGTACTGTCATTACATTTTCTGAGTATAATGTAATTAATGTTAAATCTGAATCTTTTATTTACAATAGGCAGCCATCAATTTAAACCGGTCAATTGTTTTCGAAATTACTTATGTTACACCTGCTTCCATGGTGTAATGCACTACATTACATACTGTTGTACTTGTCCTAAAGCTTGCTTAAAGAAAAAGTATTCATAAACCTCCCTGGACTTTTTGCCATTCAACTGTATGTAGCGTAGTGCATTACACCACGGGTGTCAAACTGGCAGCCCTCCAGCTGTTGCCAAACTACAAGTCCCATGAGACATTGCAAGATTGACAGTTAGAAGTATGACTCCCAAAGGCAGATGGGACTTGTAGTTTTGCAACAGCTGGATGGCCGCCAGTTTGATACCCCTGCATTACACCATCAACTGTCCACATCACCCTTGGTATTCACCAAGCCAGCTGTTCCTTTTTAGAGAGCAAAGTTTTGCTTCAAGCTAGAAGGGTGGAATTCCAACCAATACCTTTTGGTTTTGGATAGAGACAGAAGGTTTTAACCTCTGCCATGCCTTCATTGCTGTCTGTGGCCACTTGGGAGGAGAAATCTCTGATTTGCTGTTTGCTTACTGGGACACACACAGGAATCAAAGAACCTTCCTCATAAGAGTAGCTGTGACGAGAAAAAAATCACTGAATTGAAAACAAAGCTATATCTTGTATAAATCTAATAAGACCTTTCATTATAAAGGTTTATATCCAATCAATTACTTCCAGCCAGGAAGCTGGCCTCTTTCAGTTATTGTGTATAATGGCCTCTTACCTGCTGTGATGCTATAGAAACAGGATTAGGCAATGTAATGCCGGGGTTGTGTTGCTACAACCCAGCTGGTCAGCATATTCTTAACTGCTGCTTCCTCACTGCTGTTTCTCCAGGCATACTCCAGATAGATAATAAATCCTAATGAAAGTGACAGGAAGAATTCTCAGATACCTGAGCTGTCATAGCTATTGCCACTGAGAAATCTGTTTAATAATAGTATTTGCTTAACCATTACACATAACTCCTAATTTATGTATTGCATTGAAAACTACTACTATGGCTGGTTATGTGACTAATTTGAACTTCTCTGAGGATACATTGTTATCATTCAGAGATCTTTCAGCATGGCTTAAACACTTACACCTCATCATTTAGTTGTTTTTTTTTCATGTTAAAATATGCACTAATAAGCCATAACATTATGACCACTGACAGCTAACGTAAATAACATTGATTATCTCATTACAATAGCACCTGAAATTGGGTGGGATATGTTAGGCAGCAAGTGAACATATTGTCCCCAAATTGTTTGTGTTGAAAGCAGAAAAAAGGGCAAGTTTAAGGATCTGAGCAACTGACAGGGGCCAAATTATAATAGCTAGGTGACTGGGTCAGAGCATCTCCAAAACTGAAGCTGTTGTAGGAAGTTCCTGGTCTGCAGTGGTCAGAATCTACTAAAAGTGGTCCAAGGAAGGAAAACTGGTGAGCCGGTGACAGGGTCATGGGAAGCCACGGGTCATTGACACCCTGGGGGAGCGAAGGCTTGCCTGTGTAATCCAATCCAATAGAACAGCTACTGTAGCTCAGATTACTGAAAAAGTTAATACTGGTTCTGATAGAAAGATGTTAGCACACATAGTGCATCGCAGTTTGTTATGTGTGGGGCTTTGTAGTCGCAGACCAGTCAGGGTACCTATGCTGACCCAAAAGCGCCTACAATGGGCACATGAGCAACAGAGTTGGACCATGGAGCAATGGAAATAGGTTGCCTGGTCTGATGAATTCAAGAATAGTTTGAGGAATGCAACAATGAGTTTGAGGTATCAAGCATCTGTGGGATATGCTGGAAAAACAAGTCCCATCCATGGAAAACCCACCTCGCAACATACAGGACGTAAAGGATCTGCTACTGACAGCTTGTTGTCATATACCACAGCATATCTTCAGAGGTCTAATGGAGTCCATGCCTGGACGGGTTTTGGTGCAGTCATAATGTTATGGCTGATTGGTGTATATGTGATTTTAAAACCTAAGTTTAAGTAAAACTTAAAAGTTAAAATCCTCTGTCCTCTGATCCTTCCCATACTTCATACTGCTAGAATCTTCCAGTGTTCCAGAGGTCAAGAGAACCAAAGGACCTGTGACAGGCACTCATCAAACTTGCCGAATATGCCTCCCTTTCCACCCCCCTTCTCCATTCATAGAAGCTGAACTATAGCTGCCATAAATGAAAAGCTCTCTATGAATGGAAGAAGTGGATCTTTCATTCATTCACCCATCCTCCATTCATAAATAGCTTTTTATTCCTGAAAGCTGAAATACAGCTTCTGTGAATGGCGGAGGATGTCGGAATTGGCGGGCATAGTTGGCACTTTTGGTGAGTGCCTGTGACAGGTCCATTGGCTCCATCAACCCCCACAGCACTGGAAGATTGCTATATCCATACACGGGACACTTCAAATTAAACGTAAATACTGTCCCTTGTGCTACGTTTTATTTAAAAAAAGTTTTACCTAAACTTAGCCTTTAATATAAACGACAGCCCAAATACTGAGCTGTGGATTGGTAAATTCTATAAATAAAGACATGAAAATCTGCAGTGCACTTTGCACAATGTCAAGATGGGCTAGCAAAACTACTCATAATGAAGATACGTGTAGCATCTCTAGTACAGGGGGAGGGAGCTGACTACCTCTGCACATAACTCCTATGAGAGGTACAGACATGTACTATCATATATCAGGGCAAGCACCCCTATGGATCTGGATAAATATCAGTTTGCTTATCAAGCCAACAGACTAATGATGCTATTTCTATTGCTTTGCTTACTGACCTAACATATCTTGAGCACTCAAACGCTTATGTTAGGAAGTTGTTTATTGATTTTAGCTCAGCATTTAACACAGTAATTCCTGACAAATTAGTGTGAAAGCTAAATATATTGGGCTTATGCCCACTGCTGTTCTTGTGGTATATAGATTACCTGACAAACAGGCCATAAACTATGAGAATAGGAGATTAAGTGTCTACTACTATCAATTTGAATACAGGGGTACTACAGGGCTGTGTGTTTAGTCTGACCCATTTCACACCGTTTCAGATGATTGTTGGCCCACACAAATATTAAATGCTACAGTGAAGTTTGCTGATGACACCACTTTAGTCGGACACATATGAGATATTAAGGAAACAACAGAAGGTTCAACATTTAGCTGAGTAATACACAGAATATATTTTAATATTTAATACTGCAAAAACTATGGAAATATTTGGATTAAGTTGGTCAAGCAACATAGATCATTCCATGGTATATAAAGGCAGTGAGGAGATGGAATGAGTAAATAAATCGGGTTTTTGGGTGTGCATGTTACTAAGGGCTGGTATGATCTCTAATTTGTTTTGTTTTGTTTTTTTGTTGTTGCTTTTTTTTTAGTGAAATGGGCACAAAAGAGGTTGATTTCCCCTAAATATTCTGGTCAGATTTTATAATTTCACCATTGAGAGTATTTGGCTCTACCCAATTTGGATAAAGTTTATGCTGTATGCCAATTGAATAAAAAGAAGGGCAAGATATATTGGTGGTGATCCAACCCATCTGAAATATACTGTGTTTATCCTGTTGCCATCAAGCAAAAGATATAAGATAATTAAAATGCAAACAAATACACAATTGAAGTACATTTTTTTTTCCTGGTACTAGGTTACCTATTGATCCAACAGGTGCAGATTTCTAGAAGTTGCATGTTGGAAAGTTTTTAATCATATTTTTTTAACTGCTTTTAGCATGTTTATATTATTGCTATATTTAAGGGTGGACTTGATGGTATGTGTTTTAGTAAGTTTGTGTGATTGTGATGAATTTTAATATTGCTGCAGTGATAAGTACTATAAGACAGGGGTTAAAATTTGGAGTCCAGACCTACTAGCTGGTCACAAAACTTACTCTCCACCAGTTGCCCCACCCAACCTTGCCCAGGTCCGCCCCCAACCCCACCCCCTGTCTGCCCCAAACACCACCCCCAGCCCGGCCCCAACCACGCCACCTTAAAGCTTATGAAATTACATTTTTATTTAGAATAAATAGTCCAAAATATAAAACTGTACACAGTAATGTATATCCCAGCTCCCCTGTACTCCATTATAGTGATATGACATGTATACAGTAATGTATATCCCAGCTCCCCTGTACTCCGTTATAGTGATATGACATGTATACAGTAATGTATATCCCAGCTCCCCTGTACTCCGTTATAGTGATATGACATGTATACAGTAATGTATATCCCCCTCCCCTGTACTCCATTATAGTGATATGACATGTATACAGTAATGTATATCCCCCTCCCCTGTACTCCATTATAGTGATATGACATGTATACAGTAATGTATATCCCCCCTCTCCTGTACTCCATTATAGTGATATGACATGTATACAGTATGTATATCCCAGCTCCCCTGTACTCCATTATAGTGATATGACATGTACACAGTATGTATATCCCAGCTCCCCTGTACTCCATTATAGTGATATGACATGTATACAGTAATGTATATCCCCCCTCCCCTGTACTCCATTATAGTGATATGACATGTATACAGTATGTATATCCCAGCTCCCCTGTACACCATTACAGTGATATGACATGTATACAGTACTTACTGTCCCGCTCGAGTCCCCCGCAGCGGTGGAGAGGGTGTCTCCTCTCAGCGGAGGAGAGCGGACCTCTCCTGCACCTGTCCCCTCGGCGGCAGTGCCACAGAAGCCGGAAACCGGAAGTTGTAAACCGGAACTCAGCTTCATAGTGAGGCTTGGAGCGCAGGTGCAGTCGCTCCATGCTTCATCTGTGCTCACCGCTCGCAGCCGCTCGCCACAGAGGAATTTCTCCTCGCATTTGGAAAGCGGGCGAGTGGCTTTTTCAAGCCCTGCTATAAGAAATGTTATGTATAATGCACAATGTCAAAGTGTTTGTCACTTGCATCATGTACAATTGTCATTAGATGACTCCCCACATGAAGCCCTCTGGTTCAGCTAGGAAATTGTATATACTCAGTCTTTTCCCAAATGGAAGCTAAAGCCAAGACTTGGGACATTTCAGTCCAGAATCTAAAGTCTACCATCTACCCAACTGTTTTTGACGCCTAAAGAAACTAAATCCATTAGATACATAGTTTTCTTAAGGCAGTCACAAAAACCTGTTGTGTGCATTTTAGTTTCCCTAATGGATAATCTCAGGCTCTGTATCTACTTCTTCTCAAGTAAAGAAGAATTCTGTAAAAAAAAAACTGTGGCAGCTAGTCTCAGTACTACAGCATCTACTACTACTTTCAAGTTACTTGTTTGTAAACTAAGGCTAAGTTCACACTAGCTTTGTTAGCAGGTGTTAGACAGGCATTTGGGAAGCATTTGTAACGCTCCTCAAACACCTATATGAAAATTCTACACATGGTAGCACACAGTGCTGTTCATACTAAAGCGTTAGCGTCGCTGCAAAATTGACGCCTCATGTCGAGTTAGGAGGAGTTGAACCCTCCTATTTAAGTCTATGGTGACGCTCCTCAAACACCTGGCAGGTGTTTTGTGGGGCGTTTGCGAGGTGTTTGCAGAACTTTAATACCATTAAACTTCAGTATAGGCATTTGTGGTGCGGTTTTAATGCTTAGCAAATGCCTCAAAAACGGCCTAGGGCATTTGGGGAGCGTTAAAACACTTCCCAAACGCCTGTCTAATGCCTGTCAAACACTATAAGGGCGTTTAGCAAGAGTTAGAAATTAGTCAAGTGTGAACGAGCCCTTACATATAGGTCTTTGCCACGTTGTAAGAATTCCATAACAACTACTGAAGTAGGAACTTTCCTATTCTGGCTACAGTAAATCCCAACAATATTATGCCTTAAAGTGTTACTAAGCCCACAAAAGAAAAAACAGTCTGTATATGCAGTAAATCATGCTTGTTATACTCACTGTGAAACCTAAGGGGTTAATCCTCTGCATTGTGTAACAAAGCTATTTAATCCTGTCTTCTCTGATCCTTCCCTTCTTTTGCTGTCCCCAGTCCATTTGCCATAGTTAGAGAAGCAGTGGCAAGTCTGTACATGCTCTGTTTGGTGTATATTGCTGTTTTTGGGAGGGTGAATGTGATCGGTACAGGGCCATTCAGCACTGTCTGGACAGAGGGTCAGGGGTCATGCAGCCTCATAGAACAGTCAGAGGAGAATTAAAACTCTTCCTACAAGATTATCCAATACTCGGCTGGACAATAAATAAAAGTCACAAGACTGCTATATACTGCTGATGAGAAAAGGTATTTAGCAGTTTATATTTACTAAAATAATTACATTTCCATGTTCCGTGTACTGTGGGAGACCAGATATAGTGAATGCAGGGTCCTGGGTTTAGTAACACTTTAATGTTTTTTCCAGTTTTGCTAAATAAAATAATTACTGCTCCTTTTACCTGTGTATTGGATTTCTTTTTCCTATAATAATAACATATGCAGCGCTAAAAAGAAATAACTCATGAATCATAAATTTGATAAAATATGAATATGAATAAAATCAAATAAGATGAGTGGTGACTAAAGTGCTTAAAGTGATTAAAATGAAAACAACGTCCTCAGATAATGGTTCAATTGTCCCAGTAAAAAGGTGCAAAAGTTGTTGACTCCGTGCTCAAAGGTGGGTAAATATTATGCACTCACCAGAAAGCGCATAATGTGCGCATTTGAGTTGTCAGACCACTCCTGGTACTAGAAGGCTGAAGCAATGTGGGTCATCTAGCAGGCTGTCACTCTGGTAGGGATGCACCTTCCTCTAACCAGCAGGGGGACACCAGACATCCAGCAATACTTGGCATAAAACTAATCCAGACTCCTCAGACCAGGACACTCAAACAAGATATCCACCTTTGAAAAAGGGGGGGGCTCGACCAAACAGCCCACTCCAAAAAAGCACTGATAGTGTAGTAGGTTCATAAATTTTTATTGGAGCATAGTGAAAGCAACTCACATAGGGTATCCCAGAAACAAAGATGGCCGCCGGCCTCCACGAGGTGCGGGGCGGCGTGACGTCACCGGCTAGGCTCCATCTGACGCGTTTCGTGCGGACGAGCACGTTATCAAGGGGGGCTTTTTCCTATATCTGCCTACAGTTTTTGATTCCTTAAGGAACCATGGGCTGCAGAATATTATTAAGTACCTTTGCTAATACTAAGGTCTCTTACACATGGTACGCCTTTGCAGTAAATTGAATGAACACGGCATTATAAGATCGCCACATGGGAGATAACAATAGGCACCACAATAGAACAATGGCTAAGGGCTAAAAGGCTTAAAATTAATCTGCCAAAAGAGAGGTATGAGGGCTTCCAATTTCATCTCCTTTTGAAAATTCCTGTCAAATAAAATCAGAGAGTGAGCAGAGCAAAACACTCTATAGTGTACTAAGTGATGCACAAATCTATTAAAATGAAAAAAAAGTGAAATGCACTCACAAGTGGAGATGGCAAGTATAGACCAAGGGGCACAGAAAGTCTCCCCAAAAGTACTTGTCCTGTACAGGCCATGGGCTGGGAAATGGCCATCAGGAGGATGTAATACTTGAACTTAGAAGAGACCAACAGCATCAACCATCCACATTCCACCCAAGTAGGTAATGCTTGTGTCCAAATTGTTGATCTAAAGGGAAATTTAAAAAATGTGTATAAAATTAAACAGTTTCCCTTCAGTGTAGTTTCTTGTAAGCAGCTAGTTGTGGCTCCCTATACTTTGCTGCCATACTGCTCTGACCCTGCTACACAGCCAAGGAGTCTGGGTACTTGTCTTAGAATGTATGACAAACTGACAGCACTGTATTGCCTTCTTATTAATAGGCGTTCTCTTTCTGACAGGCTCTTGTAGACTTTTTCCACGCAGAAGGACAAGGGTTACCACTGGACACCTTGCGGAACGGAGATTACCGGGTGATTGACTCTAATTACTATATTTATAGCTTGGTATTTAGGACTTGGGAGGCATCTGCACTATTTGCCAAATAGCAGCTTCACTTAAATCTTTCCTGTAGAGCAGACAAGAACCTTTATTTCAAATTCAGAGTTGCATTACTAAAACTGTGATTATAATAGAAGATCTTTGACACCTGGTCTTTTACAAGTTCCCTTTGAAGAGAAAAAACACATTTAGGCCATACCGGAGTAATATCAATACTTTTAGCTGCAGTAAAAGAAAAAGAAGAAAATTGTATTTGTTCTCTTTCTTGTTTCATTTGCCCATAGCTGACTGGCGAAGAAAGCTTGCCATATTAAAGTGGTTGTAAAGGCTCAAGGGTTTTTTCCTATATGTATTCTATACATGAAGGTAAAAAACCTTCTATGTGCAGCAGCCCCCCCCCAGCCCCCACCCCCCAATACTCACCGAAGTTCCCTCTCGATCCAGCGATGTGCACTGGAGTCTCGGCTAGCCCGGGACTCCTCTCATTGGCTGAGACAGAAGCGGAAGCCATTGGCTCCCACTGTGGTCAACCACAGCCAGTGAGCCAATGAAAAGGGGGGGCTACCTTGATTTTTGGACAAAGCCTGACCAACTGCCATCAATAAGGGAAGTCAGACCACTAGGCCTCTAGAAACTAGTTTCCACTATGGAGGGTTTTCTGGCTACTATGGTAGGAACAGATGCCACGTGGTCTTCATTCAGGACTTTGGTTTTTAAACATTAACAATGGCTAATGGGTTCACTTTAAGCTCTTGTTGAGCAGGAATGCTGATGGCCCTATTTGACATATAGGTAACTGTCAGAAGGTGAATTATTTATTGAGTTATTATGATAAAGTTGATGAGGCTATTGTAAAGGTGTCTGAGCAGAAAGTGGCTGTGTTGCCCTTGATGACCATTTAGATCCTCCCTCTTTCACATGCACTAGGACAAAATCTGATTTGAAAACAGATTCTCCTAATTACATTTTCACTAATTTCCTTTTTTAATTGACTCATGCTTGGGGTGAAAATGGGAATGCTAGGTAGATGGGACTCTTTCCCGACTGTGTACTAGCCTAAAATGGCTGTTCTCCAAATGATATTTGATCTTCAATTTCTCCTTTCCTGGTGGTACACAGGATGGAGGAGAAGATGGTGGTATAGAAGATAAACAAAAGGGGAACAGGGTTAGAATGGTTACTAAAGGGAGACTGCACTTTGAATACAGAAGATGGAAGGAATGGAGGAAAGGGAACCCTGTTTTAGACAACCAAGATAGGGTACATGGAGAGGAGAGAATAAGGAGGGTAGAGTACAGTGTGGAGAGTAGACACACCTGTGCAGGGGGTGGAAAGATTTAACAGACTAAAGGGGTTGCAGGAAGGCACATTAACAGGGGGTATAGTAAAAGTTTATATCCAGCCAACATTTGTGGCTTGAATGTGAAATAATTAGTTTTGGCTGAAAATATACTCAGATAATAGATATATTGCAAATATACATGAGATGCATCGGGTTTAAAAGGGGTGCGTGCATTAAATGGAAGGGGGCATTCAGCATGGATACATCAGATGGAGGTTTAATAGAGGACAGATGCATCACATGTATGGGGAAAGACAGACGCATAGGAAGCATCAGAGAGAAAAATAATCTAGGGTAAAGTGGCTGGGGATTGATCCTAAAGTGACAGTAATGTACTGCAAATGTCATGCCTAATTTGTCTTCATTTTCAGACAAAATTAAAAACAGAGAAACAGTAAATAAAGTACATTTACACACAGAAAACATCAATGTTTTATGGCTTGGAAATTACTCATTTATAGGCTAACAATTTAATCCACAAAGCTCAAGGGGTTCTGGTTCCATTTTTGAGTCATGCTTATAAACATTTTTTGTCTGCAAATGTTCGATCTGGTGATATTAATAAATATACTGTGTTTTTTTTTAGTTTTTGGAAGAAGAATTGCGTTTAAATAAATGTTCAACAAGTGAATTAATTGAAAAATATTACATGGACAATATCAAGGAGCAGGTAATTTTGCTTGAAATATATTCAAAATGTATGTAAACTCTAACAACAAAATATTTTATTTGCTCTCTTTTGACCTGTTAAATATACAGTTGAAAGATAGCTGTTCATCAGCTTGATGATTCCACTTGAAATCTTGTGAGTAGTTATAATCACATTTCATTTTTCTGACAGCTGCAAAAGGTAAAATCTTAGTGGTTCCTCTGGCATCCTGCAGTATGCACAATATTATTGCTCTATGCACACCTTTCATAATTATTTTTTCTTTTAACAATGACTTTACTATACTCTCATTAATTTTAAGCTCACCACACACTTTACAGTCTGACAGTAAAATCTCCTTTGAAGGTCATCTTGACAGGCATGGTTTTCCTGCATGTGCGTATGTGCAGTAGAAACACACCTCAAAAGCAGGTCAGCTAAATCCCATTTACTATATATGTGAGCAGTACACATTACAATTCCGAGGCTGCTTTTGCCCTGCTTAAGTTGCACTGCATTTCTTTGAAGGCATCATGTCCAATAAAGGTGCGTTTGATCTGCACTAATGATGCATCTAGTACACTATTACCAAGCTTCATGTTTTCCCCAGTCAATACAAGCATGTTTCTTCAAATGAGATCACCTTGGGGTGTCTACACTCCTAAACACAGGGTCATTTTTGGGGTGGTTTTTACTGTTCAATCATTTTATTTGCTATTTTTTATAACAGGAAAACAGTTAATTTTTAATTGTTATATTTTTTCCATTATATAGTAATACAATGAAAGAAACAGTTGTTATTAAATACTCTGTCTAAAAAATAAACATATAAAATTAATTTGGATACATACTGTATTGTCACATAGAGTTGTGTTCAAAATAATAGCAGTGTGTTGAAAAAAGTGAATAAAGCTCAAAATCCTTCTAATAGCTTTTATTTCCATACACAGAAATGCATTGGGAACACTAAACATTATATTCCAAATCAAAACATGAAGAAAAATATATCAAATTTGTGTTGTTCCTCTAAAAAAAAATGAAGAAAAGTGAACATTAGACTGTTAAAAAAAAATAGCAGTGTTTGTATTCCTCTTTACAAACTCAAACATTCACTATATAAACTGAAAAATGTTTGAAGATTCTGCTTTCCTTTGAATCACTTAATGAATATTTAGTTGTATAAGCACTGTTTCTGAGAACTGCTGTACATCTGTGTTGTATGGAGTCACCCAACTTCTGGCACCTGTGAACAGGTATTCCAGCCCAGGATGATTGGACTACATTCCACAGTTCTTCTCTATTTCTTGGTTTTGCCTCAGAAACTGAATTTTTGATGTCATCCCACAAGTTTTCTATTAGATTAAGATCTGGGGATTGGGCTGGCCACTCCTTAACGTCAATCTTGTTGGTCTGGAACCAAGATGTTGCACGTTTACTGATGTGTTTGGGGTCGTTGTCTTGTTGGAACACCCATTTCAAGGGCATTTCCTCTTCAGCATAAGGCAGCATGACCGCTTCAAGTATTCTGATGTATTCAAACTGATCCATGATCCCTGGTATGCGATAAATAGGCCCAACACCGTAGTATGAGAAACATCCCCATATCATGATGCTTGCGCAACCATGCTTCACTGTCTTCACAGTGTACTGTAGCTTGAATTCAGTGTTTGGGGGGTCGTCTGACAAACTGTCTCCAGCCACTAGACCCAAAAAGAACAATCTTACTTTCATCAGTCCACAAAATGTTGCGCTATTTCTCTTTAGGCCAGTCAATGTGCTCTTTGGCAAATTGTAACCTCTTCAGCACATGTCTTTTTTTCAACAGTGGGACTTTGCGGGGGCTTCTTGCAGATAGCTTGGCTTCACATAGGCGTCTTCTAATTGTAACAGTACTCACAGGTAACTTTACACCTTCTTTGATCTTCCTGGAGCTGATTGTTGGCTGAGTCCTTGCCATTGTGGCTATTCTTCTATCCATTCGAATGGTAGTTTTTTCGCTTTCTTCCACGTCTTTCAGGTTTTGGTTGCCATTTTAAAGCATTTGAGATCATTTTTGCTGAGCAGCCTATCATTTTCTGCACTTCTTTATATGTTTTCCCCTCTCCAATCAACTTTTTAATCAAGGTACGCTGTTCTTCTTATCAATGTCTGGAACGACCCATTTTCCAAAGAATTTCAGAGAGAAATGCACTGTAACCAGCATGTACAACATTTGCTGCCTTCCTTCCTTCCTTAAATAAGGGCATTAATTGCCACCTGTTTTTCAAATAATGAATGACCTCACTAATAGAACTCCACACTGCTATTATTTTGAACATGCCCCTTTCAATTAGTGATTCAATTACACAGAATCAGCAGCATGAATGTCATGACTGTTGGGTCTCTTGGATTTCTATTACTCTACTACACCTGCTAGTAAATTATTTGCCATGTAGCAATATCATTTCTATCAAAAACAGTGATTGATCAGGTTAGTGATGTCTGACTGCTATTATTTTGAACACAGCTGTATATACTATATGGCTGAGAATTAACTAGTCAAACGATATATTAGCACTGAAATCTGAAAAATGGCCTAGTAATGAAGTCTTATAGAGGCTGGAACTCAAGAACAGGGTGAAGAAGAACAGGGAACGAGGGTGAAGTGGGGGAGGAGAAAGGTCCATGAGGCGGATAGTCTATACCGTATTCCATCCAAACAAGAAAGAGAACAGAAATACTAGATAGCTATGAGTTTGATTAACTTTAACATATAAAGGGAAAGGGTTAAATTCTCCTACTAAAAGACATAAACTACTTGGAGAAGTTCACCAACTTTCAGCAGATGTGTTTTTACAAGAGACACATTTAACATATGACTCTAATATTAAACTATACTCAAGGTATTACCCAACATGGTACTATATGGATTCACCAATAAAGAGAGCTAAAGGAGTAGTGATCGGGTTCTCAAAAAATGTGGGTTTTTGTTGTGAAGGAGAGATTGGTGGACCTAGAGGGCCGGTTCCTATGCTTAAGAGGGAAAATAAAGAGACAAGTCTACACCTTTGTTAATATCTATGGCTCGAATCAAAATCCAGAAGTATTTTTGTATGGAAAAATTATGGAGTTTAAGAGGGGGATTTTGATTTTGGGAAGAGACTAATTTTTGCCTTGAGCCTTGGATGGATGCGACATCAAATGCGCAGAGAGGAGGAGGTAAAAAACTAAGAATGTTGAAAAAGAGGCTACATCAAAGTCAGTTAATGGATACATGGAGGGTGAAACATCCTAGAGAAAGAGATGATACCTTCTTCTCTCTGGCGCATAGATCATACTCAAGGTCTGATTACATAATGATCAAGCATAGACAATTGGATTCATTGATTAAATCTAACATTGAAATTATGTCTATATCGAATCATGCTCCTGTTACTGCAAAATTAAAGGTAGGTGGAGAACGGAATAAAAGGGCAATGTGGAGACTAAATGAGATGAGACTAAGGGCGGAAATAGAGCAATTTTTTCTGCTGAAACTGAGGAAGTCTCCGTGACCACTATTTGAGAGGCACATAAGGCGTACATGAGGGGAATCCTGATAGCTGCAGGAGCTAAAAAAAGAAAGATCACAAGAGAAAAATAAAGGAGGTGACGGAGGAACTGTATAGATTAGAAAAGACACATAAAACGAGATAGGACACAGAGGTTTATTCAAGGATCATACTTAAAAGAGAAGAGTTAAAAGACCTATTGGAACAAGAATCAAGGAAGATTTTCAGTGGAATCTCAAAGGAAAGATATCGATGGGGGAATAAGACAAGAAAATATTTGATGAAAGGCTTAAGGAAAAGAATTCAAAAAATTATATTGAAAAAATTAAGGATGAACAAGGAAAAAATGGTATACTCCACCACCAATATTGCTGAAATGTTCCAAAAATTCTATAGTAAGTTGTATGATGTTAAATCCTGAAAGTTACAGAGGGAGAAAAAGAGAGGGGGAAACAGTTGGAATATCTGAAGGCAGTGGATCTCCCAAAAATAGCAGAAGAAAAATAGTGTCTTTAGAACAGGCTATCTCTCAGGAGGAAATTAATAAGTCATTGAAGAATACAGCAGGGAAGGGGGGGGGGGAAGAGCCCAAGACCCGATGGGTACACGGTGGGGTATTATAAGAAATTTAGAGACTTACTGGTCCCTAAGTTTTGTGTATATGTATATATATATATATATGCCTTAAGAGAGGGAATGGGAATAAGGGCAGAATCATTGCAAGCGCATATAACGATTATTTTAAAAGAAGAAAAAGATAGCTCACAATGTGCTAGTTACAGACCTACAGTATATCATTTCTAAATACAGATAAAAAACTGTTTGCAAAGGTACTCGCTACGAGGTTAAAAGAGCTGATGCCTGAATGTATACACTGAGATCAAGTGGGAGGGATAATGGTCTAAGAACATTGCTTCTCTTACAGAAGGCAAAAAGAGAAAAATTACGAACAATTATATTATCGATCAGCACTGAAAAAGCTTTTGACGGGGTAGATTGGGGGTTCATGATAGACACCCTAGAGGTTTGGGGAATAGGTACTAAGATGATGAGTTGTATAAAGGAGCTCTTTAATGGCCCGACAGCGGCAGTTAACGTAAATGGGTCTCTCTCTGAGTCTTTTAGGTTGTACAATGGGATGAGACAAGGGATGCTCCTTATCCCCATTATTATTCATTTTATCCTTGGAACCTTTGTTGGCGATGGTAAGAAATAGTGTAGATATTAGAGAAATCAAGATAGGTGAGATAGAGCATAAGGTAGCGGCATATGCTGATGATATACTGTTTTATAATGTGAAACCTGGGTTAACGTTACCTAACCTAATGAGGTTATTAAAAGAGTACGGAGCAGTCTCAAATTTGAAAATAAACCCCATAAAATCAGAGATCTTGAATATTAATATTTCTAAGAAGGAGATGCAGACTCTACAAAAGGACTTCCCATTCTCATGGAGTGAAAAGGAATTGGGCTATCTAGGAGTAAAATTGGCTCTTTCTATAAAAATATATATATCGGGTGAAGTATATCCCATTAATAAATGAAATAATGGCGGAATTGAGAAGACTTTCAAAGAGAAGGGTCTCTTGGATTGGGCGTATAACTTCGGTTAAGATTTTAATAGTTCTAAAAATCCTATATAAATTTCATATGCTCCCAGTCCACATTCCAAAATCTTTCTTTGTGATAATAAAAAAATTAATACTTAAATATATATGGGATAATAAGTAGCTGAGAATTAGGTATGAACTTCTGTGTAATAAGAAAGAAAAAGGAGGATTAAATTTGCCCGATATTGAGAATTATTACACTGGGGTGATACTTTCACGAATTGTAGATTGGGCACATAACTCACAGGGGAAGAGTTGGGTTAAAATAGAAGGCACTTTAAGTAACACACGATTAGAGAGGATTGTTTGGATACCACAAAAGTTTTGTAATATGGATGAGACTAGTAGTACACTTACACAGGAGGTGTTAAAAGTATGGGATGGAATACACAAGCAATTGGATTGGAAGTATAACTCACTGTTGAATCCCCTGGGTGTTACTGATTTTTTTCCCACCAGGGAATGATAATATTTTGGGGAAATGGTTTGTAGATGTAGATGCACGGTTGGGGGATATAGTAGTTAAGGGGGAGTTGTGCACTTTTCAAGATTTAAAGAGTAAAAGAGAGATATTTGTAGCATTAGATGAATTGAGATATTACCAATTAAGACATTTTGTTTTGATGTTGCCCCAACCCCTGAGGATGGAGGAAGACTTACTCCTATTTGAAAAGATGTCAGTAGTATGGCTCCAAAACACGTCACTTCTGGGATATATAAGATTCTTACTGAATTGAGAGAGGCAGGTCCTCCTTCGTTCTTAGAGAAATGGGAAAGGGAATCAAAGATGAAGGAATCACAGAAGAATAAAATGTTTAAATTAACACATGGGGTGATGAATATGAACACAGTTGAAATTAATTATAAATGTTTAGTGAGATGGTATTAGACACCGAGTGTTTCACATAGACAACGAGTAGAAGTCTAACCGGTTTGTTGGAGGGGATGTGGAGCAAAGGGAAATGGCTCATATATGGTGGGATTGTCCAAAAATACAGTGGTATTGGCAAAATATAATCCAATTTACACAAGAGATATTGGGAACAACCATACAGAAGGATCCGTGGGTGTGTTTATTCCATAGGTCAGATGTACCGGTGAAGCAGTATAAAAAATAGTGTATTATACCATCTAATTAGTGCATCTGAAGTGCTTATTCCCAAATTTTGGCAGTTACAGAAGACGCCAACAATGAGGGACTAGTTAGAGAGGGTGGATTATATAAACAAGATGGAGAAGTTATACCATATAGATGAAGGTAAAATAGAAACATTTAGAAAGGAATGGGGAAGATGGTTTGACTTCAAGACATCCGGAAAATATATGGAAGTAGTTGGAGGCCCAGTGATCTGATATGTGGTAGGAGATTTAAAGGGAATGTCTTGTATGACTGTAGCAGAAACAGGAAAATGGGAAAGAAAAGTCAGAGGGAAAGAAAGAATAAGAAAAAGAAGAGTAAAGGGTATAGATATGAACTGGATTGTTGGAGAGACGGACTGCGGTGTGTTGTGTGGAGGGTGGGGATGGGGGGGGGAGGGGAAGTTGGGATGGGAAATTTAGATTTGTTTTTACTTTAGATGTAATTGTTATAGGGCTGTGTTTTTGTAATGTAAAACTTAATAAAAGATATAATGAGAACAAAAAGAACATCTGTCAAGTTTTTTTGCTGTCTGTGTTATTTTTGGGGTAAATCCTGAACCCTACACACTCCAATACTAAGAAAAAAAATAAAATAAAAATGGATAGCTTAAACTCTTCTAAAGGGCAATCTGTACTGAGACACATATTAGTTGTATGGCTTTAATATTTTAGTCACTGATCTGAAATAATGACTAGAAAGTCAGAGCTCCTAATCTGTATACTTTTACAAAGTGAGCACATAAGTAACCACATAAATCACTGGAACAGCTTGTAAGCCAGGCAATTAGCACTTTCAGAAGGAAGGACAACAACAGCAGGTTTTTATTTCCCTTACTACAGGTTCCTTTATAGAAACCCTGTCACCAACTTCAAGTTCAAAGGCACATTATAAATGTTCATTTCTAGTTTTTTCCTTTTGTTTCCATAAATTATTTTGATTCAATTGCGCCTTTGAACTTAAATGTGACTACTCCAGGAAGAGGCATTTCCCTAGCACAGCCCCCTCCCTCTTTGCATGTTATAGACTTCTCCTCTTCTAAGAATATCTAATTACTGTCCATGCTGGTCCAGCCCTTTCACCCTTCTTCTCCCATAACATTTTATGTACCTGCTGGGGGAGGAGGGAGGGTATAGAGTGTCACCTGAGTGACAGCTTTGAGTTTGCTGGGGCTGCTGACATTACATCCATAATGGTTGTGTCCTGCAGCAATCTCAGAGATTTTGGATGTCTACGCAAAAGAGGTGTTTACAGGTAGATAACATGTTGAAAATATGCAATATGGGAAGATTGTTGTTGAATTAGATGGTCTGTCGACAGATGCACTAGAGCATCTGATCATTAATTTGAGAACCCTTGGAAAACAATTACACGGCAGTCTGAAAATTACAGTAGAGGTTATTTGGACATTTCAGACCTGTCCGGTCGATATTTGGCCTCATATCCCAGGATTATCTATGACATCTGTGTTCTGCTCTGCACTTTGTAATCACTTGTATTATGCAGAAGTCTGACCTCAGCTGTTGGTAGCCTTATCCCTGTTCTCTTCTTCTAACGGGCATATGGGACAATGTTTTGTCTTTCCAGAGGTCAGCTGAGCACAGTAAATATGGAAGGATTAGTGTGAAGTGTTATTACGAGACCTCGGAGCAGAAACTATATGTGGAAGTGCTTCACGCTGCAGATCTTATCGCTCTTGATGCAAACGGTGAGTTTTAAGTACCTCTAAGTGTAACTCAATCCTATGGGGAATTTTCATTGTGTGTAAGCACATATTTAGCAACCTTTAAGAGGCCAAGAGCCACATGTTTTGGAGGATCCCCCACCCACTACTGTTAGGATCCATTGTACCCTGCCAGCAGCAGTCCAGCAGTGTGCACAGGTGTTTGCCTTCTTTGTTACTAGAAACATATATTTTTTGATGATTTGCACTGTGCATACTGAAGGGCCAATGCTTACAGGGTTCCACTAGGTAGGCAGTGAGGATTGTGTGACGGTGCTGAGTGCAGCTGTCATGAAGGAGCCTATGTAGGCAGAATTGGATGGCCTTTTAAATTGCATCTATAATTGCTCTAAAAGTCCAAGGTACTTGGCCATGTATCTCTACTGCTAAGCTACACTGGAAGAATGTTACCCCCACATTTCATATACCTGATATGTGCCTGTTGTATCATGTACTTGTGTAAAAAGTATCCTGTTCTTTTTGTATTACTTCCTTTGTGTGAAATACCTGGTGATCCTGCCAGAACCCCACTCTCCTATTTTAAAGTGACCACACTAGGAATGAGAGCACATCTATGTCAACGTGGTCAGGTTTCTGGCTGTACTGGGAGAACAAACAGCCTGCATGTCCTCCAGTGATCAGACTTGTGCTAACACACCCCCCCTATACAGCCATTCACTTTGAAGATTAGTATACTGCTGTTTCTCCACCCCACCTCTCACTGTTAAGGAATGCCTTAATTGCCATGGCAGAGAGTATTTTAACTGGATGTATCATTAAAAGCCTTTAAGAATTTGATCAGGAATACAATCATTGGACTCAATTGGTCCAAAGGGATCCATTTTTCATTTAGGCCTTAGGCCTGCCGATTGGAATGCAAGATGTAAAAAAGTAGGTAATATTCAGACATACCTCTTGTTAAATAAACCATGGATTTCAACATATGAATGAATGTTTTTTTGCATTGTCCAGCATAAGGTCAATGCAAGAGAATGCCAGATGTGAAAAATGGGAAAACCCTTGTTTCTGGGTGCAAATGTCAAATATCTCTCCAACACAGTTCAGAAACCAGTTGCTGTAGAGTAGGGGGGTGAGTTACAGAAGGGAATAGAAATTCCTTGTCTATAAAGTACTGGGTTCAAGAAAATTTTGCCCCATTGTTTGATGGAAATGAAAATTTTCAACCTACAGAGGACTGAATTCAAAGATACCCCGAAAATCAAAATGAAAAAATGATGTAGCAGGCTAGTCCATTTTGCTGAAATTTCATTGCAGCAACTCAGAATGGTTTGTATTGCCCCCACGTGCTTGTATGCATGCCTGACAACATCGGAGCATACTCCTAATGAGACAATTGATGGTGTCCTGGAGTATTTCCTCCCAGATCTGTATAAAAAATTGGGTGCAGCTCTAAAATACATATATCAAATATATAAATGAGAATATTCAATAAAGTGACCAGTGATAAGGTGCTATTATATCAATCAAATAAAGTGACATAGTGGTATCATATAACTCTGTCACTATGCCGTGACCAATGGTGCTTATTATAGTGCTAGAAAAATAATTAAAATGTCCAAATATAAGTGCATGGAAGATCTAATAATCTTCAATTGTTGGTGGTCTATCCGGTAATGTGGTGATGTGACCAATGGCATAAAGACTGCGCACTCACCAGATGCGCAACCAATAAGCGCATTTAGAGATAACACTCTCAGTAGATGAACTGGAGGCCCCTTTAAGGTGAGTATGGTCTGGTCTGATGTTCCCTCATTGTCAGCAATGGCTCTGCCACTCCTCTCATGTATCTCTGCAGTCCTACTCGCCACGACCGTCCCTGGACCAGGGCATCTCTGAGCTCCTGGACAATCTGAGGTGGCGGCCTTGGATGGACCAAAATATGATATCCCAGAGGGGCTCTATTGGATTTAGGTCAGACAGATGCGGGGGGTCATTCAATGGTATCAATTCCTTCATCCTCCAGGAACTGCCTGCATACTCTCGCCACATGAAGCCAGGCATTGTCGTGCAGTAGGAGGAACCCAGGACCCACTGCACTAGCGTAGGGTATGACAATGGGTCCAAGGATTTCATCCCAATACCTAATGGCAGTCAGAGTGCCAAAGTCTAGCCTGTAGAGGTCTGTGCATCCCTCCATGGATATGCCTCCCCAGACCATCACTGATCCACCACTAAAACGGTCAAGCTGAACAATGTTCCAGGCAGCATAACATTCTCCAAGGTTTCTTCAGACCCTTTCACGTCTGTCACATATGCTCAGGGTGAACCTAATCTCATCTGTGAAAAGCACAGGGCACCAACGGCGGACCTGCCAATTCTGGTGTTCAATGGCAAATGCCAATAGAGCTTTATGGTGCTTGGCAGTGAGTACAGGGCCCACTAGAGGACGTCGGGCCTTCAGGCCACACTCATGAAGTCTGTTTCTGATTGCTCAGAGACATTCACACCATTGGCCTGCTGGAGGTAATTTTGTAGGGCACTGGCAGTGCTCATCCTGTTCCTCCTTGCACAAAGGAGCAGATACCAGTCCTGTTGATGGGTCAAGGACCTTCTACGGCTCTGTCTAGCTCTCCTAGAGTAATTGTCTGTCTCCTGGAATCTCCTCCATGCTCTTGAGACTGTGCTGGGAGACAGAGCAAACCTTCTGGCAATGGCACATATTGATATGCCATCCTGGAGGATTTGGGCTGCCTCTGCAACCTCTGTAGGGTCCAAGTATCACCTTATGCTACCAGTAGTGACACTGAGCCTAGCCAAATGCAAAACTAGTGAAAAACAGTCAGAAGAGATGTGTAGGGAAAAAAATGTCAGTGGCCTCCACCTGTAAAACCATTCCTGTTTTGGGGGTCGTCCCATTGTTGCCCATCTAGTACCCTGTTGTTAATTTTCATTCAAAGCCTGTTGTTGCCCATCTAGTACCCTGTTGTTAATTTTCAACACCAAAGCAGCTCAGACTGATTAACAACCCCCTCTGCTACTTAACGGACCAGATTAATATCCCAGGAGTTTCATTGACTTGATGCTATACTCTGTTCTTTTAATTTTTTTGAGCAGTGTATTAAGTTTGAATACATTTCTGCTGAACAGGTTGTGAACCAAGAGGGATACTCCCGTGAAATATGAAGTATGACATGAGTGGCAAGACCGCTTCAACCATAATATTATGGTATTAGAAGTCATCATTGATACTCTTCATAATATTTAAGAGAGGAGTATAACCCCCAGTTCTATATCCATTTACCACTATAGTCATGGCCAAAAATATTGGCACCCCTGCATTTCTGTCAGATAATGCACCACTTCGCCCAGAAAATTGTTGCATTTACAAATGTCTAGGCATTCTCATGTTTGTTTCTTTTGTTTGTATTGGTATGACATAAGAAAGTGGAGATATAGAAAAGCCAAATCTGATACAAAAATACCTGAGTATACCAACAGGACATTACCTGCATAAACATATTCTTTGTACTGTATGTAGGTAATTTGGCACAGCAAAAGCCAATAGTAAGTACAAAGTGTAACCGGCATACAATAACCAAGTTTACAGTAGACCCATTGATATAAACCAGGGGTCTCCAAACTTTCCAAACAAAGGGCCAGTTTTCTATCCTTCAGACTTTAGGGGGGCCGGATTGTAGCCAGCAGGTGTAGAAAAATGTCTCAGGGCCAACATCAGTAAGAGTAATCAAGGTCTCAGGTCTGGTGTTCAGTTGCATAGTGCCTATGGTCAGTAGAGGGAGTAGTGCCCCATCATTGCTATCACTGGAAGGAATATTGGCCCATCATTGATGTTAATGGATGGAATAGGGCCCCATCATTGATTTTAGTGGGAAGAATAGTGCCCCATTGCTGGTGTCAGTTGGGGGAATTATGCCCCACTTTTGGTGTCAGTGTTAGGAATAGTGCCCAGGACCGCATCCAGCCCTCGGGCCACAGTTTGGAGACCCCTGATATAAACCATCTTGAGAATTTAGAAAGGTAATACCTCCATCTAGTGGCCTTTCATAGTAACACAGAAAACTATAGGAATAATAGCAGTTGCTCATCAATCTGTAATGAAAATGTTAGGCTCAACAAGGGTTAGGAAAATGTAAACCTTAAGGAATGGCAATGGGTCCAGGTGTTTGATATAGATGTAGAGCCAACATGACCTATGGACATTTAGAAAAGGTTAAATTCCTCTTTGTGATGTAGATGGAGAGGATAAAGTTCACCTAAGGTTCTTCAGCAGTAGACATAAAGGGAAAGCTCCAAAGGAATTTTAACCTTTGGAGTAAACAAAAAGAGCCTACCAGAATCAACTGATGTTTAGGGAAACAGTCCCAGGGTGAAGATGGCAGCAAGAGGTAGCCTAGGAGAGGTAGCCTATTCAGTAAAGACCATTCCTGAGCAGGAGATTTCCTGTAGCAACTTAGGAACATAGTTTCAATCACCGAGTAAGAATAGTTTAATGTTGCAGGGTGTAGTAAATTTAGCAAGGAGTCAGATACAGCAAAATAGTCTCAAGTATGGTGCTGTTTGGTGTGAAGCCATGACTTCAGGAGCATTGAAAATTGGTATTCTCCCATTGTCCAGGACTCGCAGTCATGCTAGATATGCCATGGAGTAAACAAACCTTTGCAATGTAATTTACAAGTTGCTTCAATGCAGTTCTTGGTTTTTGGAATATTAAAAAAGTGAAGGAACCCAGCAAGAAGTTTAAAGATAGTTTATGTTAACATTTAAGTTTAGGCCCATTTCAAAGGATTAACTGATATGTAAAATCTTCTCCACATCCTCTAAACCCTAAATCAGACAAGCATAATCATACCACTGGGTTATGCAGAAAAGTTGTAAGGAAAGCCTTATATAACCCCCCCCCCCCCCTTATTAAGATTTTCATCTAGCAAGATGCGTTTGCTACTTTGTAGCCACTGCACTTCTCTTGCAGTCAACTCTTTAGCTGAGCCTTGGGGGACTGTAGGCCAGCCTGTAATGTTGCTAAGGACACTGGACCATACTTTTGGCACTCTCAACATGCAACATGGTGAATCACTAGGAGGTTGTTCTAAAAGTCCAGGGCAGTGGTCTAACCACCAATTGGACACTGTCTCTGAGGACCCCTTACAGTGGTATGCCTACCAGCAGACTGAAGATGTGGATAGGGCTTGGTTTCCCAATTCCACGTGGCTGAGTGGGAGAAATCGCACATGTTGGTGGTAGGCCAGAGCTTTGCACTATTTAGAACCAGGGTGCTGTGACTCTGGGTTAACATGCAGAGCACTGACTACAGCCGGTGGCTGGGGCAGTTCAGTAAAGCCACTGTTTTAATTTGGCACCCTTTTTTTCTCAAGCTGGTTGGGCTATGGCAGGGAGAGCTACTGCACCTGCAAAACTTCTTTCTCATTAGGCATACTGCTTATGTGCATGCCATTTTCTGGTACATGTGACACAGTCTGGAACCTCTGCTCCCTATCTCTCTACCTGCATACAGCACAGCAATCCTGTGGACATGTCTGGTTTTCTGCTGCCTACAGTGACTGGTCACAGAAGGGTAACTCTTCCTGCTCTTTATTGACAATTGTGAGTCTCCCTAGTGGGAAATGGCTCAGGGGGTCCTGTGACTTAATTTTGGTAGCTCATATTGCTGTTCCCAGTAACTATTCACCTCTGAGACCTCCATAGCCCGTTCTGAGGCACCTTCCTACTCCTGTTTGTTCAGAGAGGTGTTTTCAGCCACGATCTCTAATGTAATGGGTAGGTTTTCAGCCCTCTTGGAGATCTCAGGTCACAGGGGCCTCAAGAAAACCATCCCCCATATTCTCCCTCAGAGTACATATTGCTCTCTGCTTCCAATAAAATATTTTATTAAAAAAATGTATATACCAAAAGCAGAACTCCACACAAAAGGGGAATTTCCCTTTAGGCTACGTTCACAATAGCTTTGTCAGCAGGTGTCAGACAGGCATTTGGGAAGCGTTTTTAATGCTTCTCAAATGCCTATGAAAATTCTGCACATGGCAGCACACAGTGCTCTTCACACTGAAGCATTAGCGTTGCGGCAAAACTGGCGCCTCATGTCGAGTCAAGAGGAGTTGAAGCCTCCCATTCATGTCTATGGTACCGCTCCTCAAACGCCTGTCAGGTGGTTGCGACGCGTTTGTGAGGCGTTTGCAGAGCGTTAATACCATTTAACTTCATTATAGGTGTTTGTGATGCAGTTTTAACGCTTGGCAAACGCCTATCAAATGCTTCAAAACCGCGTATAGGGCGTTTGGGGAGCATTTGAGGAGCGTTAAAAACGCTTCCCAAATGCCTGTCAAACGCTATAGGAGCGTTTGGCAAGAGTTAGAAATAAAGTCAAGTGTGAATGAGCCCTTAAGGCCTCTCATCCCTTCCTCTTTCACATTTGGCAATCTTTTTTGGGAGGGGGAGCGTGTCCTGACAGCTCCATGTCAGCACAGCTGGGTAAGGGCCCGCCACCCCCCATGCTTCCAGGACCTAACTCATATATTTGAGTCCACCTGCAGCCTCAGTTTACCTCTTTTTTTCTTCCCATGTGCAGGACCTAGGTGTGCTCCACTACCTGGCTGGTCTAAAGGGCTGGCTGTCCGTCCATGCGTGTGGGTTTCAGCTGGACATGGTCCCTGGTGTACTGGCTAAATGACCCATAATCCAGGGAGCCCTGCTGCTGGTCCTTGGGGCAGCTTTTTATCATGGCTAACAGCCTTTTCTGGGGTCCCCTGGGTCCATGTGAAGTGGGCAGCAGTGTAAGCAGAGTCTCTAGGCCCACACACCCGCACAGTGCCAGTGTTTACAGTCGGATGGCGGAGGTTGGGTGAGCTAAATGTAAAAATACTTTGTATCCAAATGAATGCTGCATTGCTGGCTGTTGTTGTGCCTTGCTCCCTGCAGCTGCTGTGCATACCCTGAGCTCCTCCACAGATAGAACTCTGCATAACAGGTATACAAAGTAATACTTTTCAGTTCACACACATGGCATTACCTGTTAGTGGCTTCTCATATTTGCTTTCCTATTTTGCCCTTATGACAAACCCCTCAAAAGACCAGCATCCCCAGAGAAGATTGGTCGAAGGGGCATTGGCACCCTCTGCCCCTCCTAATGAGTGCCAAGGATCCACTCTGGTGGTGATCCCAGAATGGTTAAAGGGGTCTTGGTACCCTCTGGCCCTCTTAATGAGTGCCAAGGATGCACTCCCTTTGCCGGTAAGATCGGATTCTTCGAAGTCACATTTATCCAATACCTGACAGGCTCAAGGTCATGGCTTAGATCTTGAGAGGCAGAGGCTAATAGATCTCAGGGCCTCTGTAAAGGTTGTGAATACTATTATGAAAGCAAAGAAGAACAGCATTAACAGTGCCTATAGTAAAATATGACATACATTTACTGGATTGATGCTGATTAAGGTTTTACACTGGGTTCTCCAAGTCTGTCACATTCTGAAGCTTCTGTAGGTGGGGCTTGATTTAGGTTTATGCATAAGTACACTATGGGACCACATTTCAGCTATCTCTGCCATCACTGGCATACAGTGGGCATCCAACATTCAGTTCTACTGTCCTTCAAGCTGCAACTTGGTTGAGACCTACCTAAGGCATTGTTTTTGAAGTGGGATCTTCCATTGGTGTTGGACTTGCTTGCATCAGATGCCTACAATCAAAGTGGCCCCTTGTGGTACCTCTTGCTGAAAACTGCTTTCCTGATGGCAATTACATCAACCAGAACAGTGTTCGTATTAGCGGCCCTGGGGTTTAAAGAACCCTGTCTTACATTCATCTTGGATAGGGTGGTACTCATACCGATGTTCAAGATTGTGCCTAAGTGGTCTTCATAGTCCATATCACATGGAAAGTTGTCCTTCTTACATCCCTCTTGGGGAGTACCCAAGAAGTTAGCCCATTAGATGTGGGTCAAGCTTTAAAATTTAACGTCAAGGCGACATCTGGCATCAGGAAGTCGGATCACTTGTTTGTCATTCCAGGTGGAGCATGTAATGATTTTATGGCTTACAAAAAGATTATTGTTTCATCTCCTTGGCCTACAAGTTGAAAGGGTTGGCTGTGCCAGGGGGAATCACTTCTATCCACCAAAAGGGTCTGCCCAGACACTATCTGCAAGGCAGCTACATGGGGGTATATACGTTCATGGCTCATTACTGTATAGAAGCAGTCTTAATGACAGTTGAGTTTGGCAGAGGCATCCTGGCTTCTGCTGTTTAGCCAGAATTGAGGAGTGTGTAGCATTATCCCTCCATTGTGTGGCTAGTTCCCAGCTGTGCTGACATGGTGCTGTCAGGAAAATAGAAAATTGAATGACAGATACTTACCGTAATTTTACTTTCTTGACGGGCTCCATGTCAGCACAATTCCCACCCAGCTTGGTAGGACTGGTTACAGAACACTGAGGCTGCAGGTGGGCTCAAATTTATGAGTTAGGTCCTGAAGCATGGGGGGGGCCTTAACCAGCTGTGCTGACATGGTGCCCATCAGGAAAGGAAAATTACAATATCATTCAATTTTACGTTTTTGACAGGTACCCGCTCCCATTTCCATTTGGATCGCCTAGGCAATCTGAACGGTAGTTCTCCTTCACCCCACCCCCCACCCCCCCCGCAGTCTTCTGGGACATGGCACAGGTCCCAGAAGACTGCAGGAGTAATTACAATGCGTAGCGCGGCTAGTTATCCACAGCTAAGATGCCGGTGCCAGGGACCAAAGACGGTCCCCGGTGCCTCCTCGGGTGAGCACCCCTCTGGATCCAGGGACAGGTGGGTACTTGTTTATTAATCAAGTAAAGTTTTTGTAGCTGTTGACTTTTAATTTAAAAAAAAAAAAAACAACTTGAGCTCCTCTTTAACCTAAAAAGTGCACTAAACACCAATGCACTGCAGTATCAGGCAAACACATCTAGGATAACCTCCAAGAAAATGCCCGCTCACACACTTCCTCCACCCAACACGTTGCGTCAAATCACGTGAACACCCCTGAAGAAGTCACACGATTTGCTGGAAACTTTAAGGAAAATGTAAAGTGGTGCACACAGACAAATTGGGTACACGTATATTTTTGGGTTTTTTTTTACTTATTTTAAAAATATTATGCCTATTTAAAGGGGTATCTACACAAATTATTTTGTCTTTTTTTCATTTTATTTCATTTATGTAAAAAGTTTGTGATGTGGTTTTAGTTTATGCACTGTGGTTGAGTACTGCATGCCACTCCTATTATTGCTTGCTAAAAAAGGAGGTTTGTTAGGAGTGGGACGGGTTGTATAGGTCTGTCCTTACAGTTCTGTTTGCCAGTGTCCAGGCACCCAACACCAGCTGAATAACCCAGTGGTCTAACACTTAGAGCCTCTGTCCTGTTATGTACTCCAAGTAAAGAATTTTACAAGTAAAACAAAATTCTATTTTTTTATTTTTTTTTATTTACAAAGTTTATACTGTGTTTTTCTAGGTCTCAGTGACCCATTTGTCATCATTGAGCTCTGTCCCCATCACATCTTCCCTCTGGTGAAAGGTCAGCGCACTCAAGTTAAAGCCAAGACTTTACATCCAGTCTACGATGAGTTGTTTTACTTGTGAGTGGCTTATTAACTTTTTTTTTATATGAAATACTTTATTATGTTTGAAGATAATAATCTGAAAACATGCAGCTTATAGGGTCCAAAGAATTATATTGGTGGCTCATATTCAGGAGAGTGATTGATGCACAACCCTAACCCACCCTTTCCTCGGCATCCAGTTTATTGGTGCTACTGAGCCAAAAAGATAAATGTATAATAATGAAGTAACTATCTAATTTATCCTTATTTTCTGTTGCTGTGCACCATCTGAAAGTTAAAATTAGGTACATAGTGGAAGGGACTAACAAACTTGTACTTTGCCTGGACCAGTGTTTGATAGCATTACTAGGAGTTAATACTGCTCACATGCCACCCAGATCTATTGGTCAAAACTTGTACTTTCGGTAATGGCTGAAAACATGACAACCCCATCTGACCATACACTTCCCTCCATGCAGTGCTTGGTGTCTGGCCAATCACCATAAAAATTTCAGTTTTGTAATAGTTGGAACACAGGAATTTTCAGGGCTGAAACAAAGAAACAGGAAGGGAGGGGAGGTTGAATAGGTAGCTGTATACTCTCTGTGGAACGTAAAGTAAGCTGCCATATTTCTATCCTGACTGAATCCCTATAAAATGTTTGAAGATGAACTGTTCTTATTACCCAAAGCAACTCATAAGACTCCATCATATCAATACTTTTCTAACATAATGAAAGGAAGAACCTTCCTGATTACTATGGACAAAAAACAGTCTTCTTCATGACCCCTTGTAATTAGACCAGATGTAATATCTTGATGTTTCTGTTGTTCATTGCAGACAGACTGATCTAGTACTTCTAATATCCCCTGTTATAGCTCAGTGTCATCGGAGCAGTGCCGGAGAAAAGCTGCCTGCATCGTCTTTACAGTAATGGATCACGACTGGCTGTCCACAAATGACTTTGCAGGCGAGGCTGTCCTTCCTATGAATGTCATCTATGGACTGAATCGACCACACATCACTGGTGGTGTGAAGAATGTCCAACCAACTGTATTGAAGTTAACAAGACCTAAAGCCAATGGTAAGCATTATAATCATTGAGTTATTCTGTAATGGTGCTTTTTTATAAATCCTCTAGTATTAGAGCAGTGTCGTCATGACATCATAGGGCTAAGGGCAGCAACAAGTATGGTTGGCTACATGAAAATAATCTTGTGGTCACCAATCTACATTATTTCAGTTGGAATTTTTGAACTGTAACCATGTAAAGGAGCACTTTGATGTTTAAATAAAAAATGTTCCTTCTCCTTAATGAAAGCGGTTGTAAAGGGTTTTTTTCTTTTCTTTAATTAAAATGATAAACATGGTATACTTAACCTGTTCTGTGCAATGGATTTGCACACAGTAGCCTGAAACTGCTGCTTCCTAAGTTGGCACATCTGTAGGCTCTCTGCTGAGTCAGGCTGTGTGCATCTGTAAGGGAAATCCTGTGAGACGGCTGGCTAGTAGAAATGAGTATGCGCACAGCAATCTCCGCAGAATAGTGACCAGACATGCACATGCGCACAGAAATGCACAATCGCGCACAGGCACATGCACAGTGAATATTGGCGCCAGGCGGACTATTTAAAGGTTGCTTCTGCTTGTACTTAGTGCTGACTGATCTTCAGCTATTTCCCTGTGTCCTGCTGTATTCTTGTATGATCCTTGTTGCTGACCTGGCTTGTTCCTGACCTGACATCGGATTCCACTCCTGCCTTGTTGCTAGTTCCTGTTCCCGGCTCTGTTCCTGACTTTGGCTTGCTCATGATTTGGTACCTTGCTGCCCGCCTGTTGATGACCTTGGCTGTTCCTTTGACCTTGCTTCTGTCTCCGATCCCAGCTTCCTGTCCTGCTCGAGTGCTCGCTTGGTTGTCTATTATACCAGCTCAGCACACCATAAACTGTTCCTGCTTTAAGTCAGCTGGGAGTTCTGACACATCACTTATCCTGAACCTGTTGTACAAGCGGAGTGCCCTTTTAACACAGGTGGGATTCCAAAACATCGCTGATGTATGGAGTAATGACACTCGATGGAACAATTCAGCACTTCGTCATCAGTTTCGTCTCAGTCTATCCAATGCCTGAAAGATGAGCTTGCCCGAGTGGGGGTGCCGACCTTAATAGAAGATCTGATAAACCTCATCATCCAGATTGATCGACAGCTACGGGAAAGGCAGGGTGAAAGAATCAGCAATGGTTTTTTTGTCCTTCTCAGAAATTGAGGTTCCACGAAGGAGCTTTTGGAGGCCACCTTTAGCCTCTGCTGAACGTCTTCGACGACAACGTTCCAACCTCTGTCTCTAATGTGGTGATGCTGGTCACTTCATACTGACATATCCAGTGAGACCTCACAAGTCTTCCCTTAACTGGTTCCATATGATGCACCCGCAGAGAACGAATCAAATGCAACTCTCCCTCCTACTTCACTTGCAACTTGCTGAAAAGACTTGTTACTGTTCTAGCTCATGATTTGGTACCTCGCTGCCCACTCGTTGATGACCTTGGCTATTCCTGCAACCTTGCTCCTGTCTCCGATCCCAGCTTCCTGTACTGCTCGAATGCCCACCTGGCTGTCTACTATACCAGCTCTGCACACTATAAACTGTTCCTTCTTCAAGTCAGCTGGGAGATCTGACACTTCACTTATCCTGAACCTGTTGTGTCCCACTTCCTCCTAACAGGATTTGATGGGCTCCTGCTGCTGTGTTTGAGCCTGTGAGGGAGAGCGCAGCTGTAGATGGGCACAACGCTGGATCAACATAGAACTCAGGTAAGTATAAATGGAGGTGGGGGCCATTACAATTAGTGGGATATTTTTTACCTTAATGCAGGGAATGCATTAAGGTAAAGCCTGTCAAGCCTTTAGAACCACTTTAGGTAAGAGTGCCTAAAGAAATGGAAATGGATGGAGCATGAATGGGCTCTAATAATATTCATATGAGAAAAGTTCCAAGTTTCTTAGTGTTCCCTTTCATTGCTCTCTGTGGTACCATTGTGTGTGGGAATGTTGACATTAGGTCTTTATGGTGGGGGTAGGTAGTTTTTTGAGTTATATAGGGTGATCACTGAAGAATTTAGACATACAAATCTGCTGGATAGTTTTTAGTTTGTGAATTACCATAAATTTAGAAAGTGTTTGGTCTTGTTCTGCTGTAGTCGGTACATTGGGTTTTAGTTACCTTGTTATTATTCTTTTTTTGTATACAGAGGTGTTCGCTTTAGGTTTGTTTCTTTTTTGGGGGGGATACATTGTTGTTTTTCTAGAGTTCACCTTTAATGTCCATTTACATTTCTTCGGGCCATTGCACGTTAAGTCACACAGCATTTGCACTGTGGTATACTACACTGCAGGAGAATTGCATTGGGGTGATATTTGACATGAATGGCATGACAATGGGTGAGTTACCATGTGTTGTGGTTACACACATTTTGCTGTATTAACACATCTCATAAATGTGAATTCAGCCTTAATTTTTTCATAAATAATTGAGGCAGATTTGCAGGTCCTCCTAAGGAGTACTATACTCAAGACAATAATTACAATAAATCTACATGATATCAGGTTATGTTCAGGTTGTAGCTTCACTTTTGGTATGAGCTCCATACACCACTGTATTTAAACTTTTTGCTGCCAGGTCCGTATGGCGTATGGACCTACAATACTGCTTCCAGCTGGCAAGGTCCGTATGCCGTATGGACTTGACATTTCTCACATTCCTGCTTCTGCTGCAAGCTTATGGTCTTTTCAGTGACCATGAACTTATAGCAGAAATGTTCAATAGACTCTGCTGAACAAAATAATAGCTCTGATTAGCATCTAACAAGCCCCTGGTCAGAGCTGTTAACTTTAAAATGGGATCCCCCAACCCTCCACTACTGCTGTGCCTCTCACCCACTGCCTTTTTCCTCTCCACTTCTCCTAACTGCTTCTAAGCTTGCAACCACGCCATTCCCCCCACTGGCTCCTTCATCCCCCTTTTCTGTGTCCCGCAGCACCAATTTAATTTAGTGGGAATTTAGTAAAATTTGCTGTATTTGAATCTGCTAATAATGATTTTAGTGTATATTTAGCAATAATATTGTTTTGAGAACAGCTGTGCAAATATTGCAGGGTCTTAAAATTCAATAGCAACTTCTTTTTCTACTAGTCATGTGCTTTCAGAAAATATATGATTTGGGGGGGGGTCTTTTACAAACTCTGAAAGCTGTAAGGGAAAAATAAAAGATCAATGTAAAAATTACAAAAATGGCCTGGCCACCTGAGTTTAAAAGCGCAGGGCCTGGCAGCGAAAAGGTTAAGTCTACAGGTGATCACATTTTATGAATATGCTGAATAGAAAAAAAAAAAAGACTTGGATGAAGTTCTATTTCACCAATTTTAATCTATGTTCTCCAGTCAAATTAAGGTTTTGTTTTTAAGTCATTATTGCCAGATGAATCTGGATTTCATCTGCATGGTAATCTAACAGAAACGTTAATAGATTTTTGTACATGAATTTTCAAGTAATAGTGAACATTAATTACGAAAAACATAAAGAATCCCAGATTTAGACCACATTTAGATCAGGCTGAACAAAATAGCGAGGATAAAACATCAGCAGCACTAGACTGCTCTAAAGATTTGGGTGAGCCTATCTTTGGATCAGATCACAATCTGTGTACATGTGGAACAAGAGCTGTATATGTATAACATGTGGAACAAGAACTGTATATGTATACAGAAACCCCCAGTGCTGCACATTTCTGGAGTAATCTTAAAGGCCAAGTTCTCCTTCAACCTCTTCACGCCGGCCGCACACAAATGTGTGGCCACCGGCATCTGGGCTTAGACGCCGAGCGGCCGTACATTTGTGTGCAATTAAGAAAAACATATGTGCTGAGAGCGCGCGCCCTGCGCACTCCCAGCACACATGTCCGGTACTCACGGAAAGGTCCCAATCTCCTCTTTCAATCGGGAGCTTTCCCGATCATGTGACGGCGAATAACAGCAGTCACACGACCCTAAAACCCCGCACCTGCCTCCCTGCTTCTGAAACCCTTAAAGGGCCGGGAGGCGCCGGCACCAATGAGTTAAGAAATAAATAATACATACTGTACATGTTTTTGCAGGACAAATATGCACATTTATCATTTTTTTCCACAGGGCCATGCAAAGCATTTTACCTGCAATCAGTGGATTACAGATGCAATGTCAGGCTCCGGAATACTGGTACTGACTATCAGTTGGAGAACTGGAGGAAGTGCCAAAGGACTATGAGTGGGCTGATGACTGCAGTTGTGTTCCATTGATAACTACAAGTCTGTCTACTGTGGTTTATTCATTCACAGGTCTCTGTGAATGAATGATGTGGCTCTACAGGTGGAGTCGCTTAGCAACATATTACACCCTAAAGGTGTAAAATGTAACCAGTTGCTAAAGGTGGAGTTGGCCTTTAAATCTAATTTGAACTGATGGGTTATTTATTGCTGCATTTTGAATTTTGGAAAACCTCTACACACATAATAAGACCCCATGCACACAGGGCATTTGCCCAGCTCTCCGAAATGCCTTTCCTCCTGGCGGCAGCTCCTTGACGAGTGTAAACATATCTAGATACATCAAGCGCTTACAAGGTACTTCATTTAATTGGCCAGAATAATTCTTTATTCTGGCCATTGAAATGTATTAATGCAATCTTGACATAAAGTCATGCAACAATTTCTGGTAGAAGATCTTCTTAATTCAAAGTATTGCGGACATGGAAGGTTCTCAAGTATCTTCTGCATTATAATGTTAGATTTGCTAGAAAGGCAGAGTAAAACTCACCATACACATTACTATCTGATTGTACAATCTTTCTATGTCTGCATTGTGGAAGGACCTGCCTGACTGGCGGTAACACCTTACATAATTTTTTTATGACAGGTCAAAGCAACAGGTTTGCTTTAATCTCCTCTCCTCAGCAGCAAGGAACAACAAACTGTGATACACTGTGTGTTCAGACATCTTTCTATCGGAATCACCATGAACTTCTCCAGCAGTTTTTAGCTACAGTAGCTCTTCTATTGGACTAAACAGGCCAGCCTTTGCTCCTCATGTGCATCAATGAGCCTTGGCCTTGTCACCGGTTCACAGGTTTTCCTTCCTTGGGCAACTTTTGGTCGGTCCTGACCACTGCAGGCTGGGAACATTCCACAAGAGCTGCAGTTTTGGAGATGTTCTGACCCAGTTGTCTAGGCCAGCCTTTCTCAACCAGGGTGCCTTGAGGTTTCTTCAGGGGTGCCTTGGCAAAATGTCTAATAATTGTCCAAAACTTGTATACAAGCCAGTGGGTGGAACAAGCCTGCCTTTTAGTTACACAAAGCCACAGGTTTTCATTGTGCACCATTACGACCTTCTAGCCATCGGCATCTTGACAACTAATGACATCAGCAGTTGATAAGGAGAATGTCAGCTGCCTGCACAGCATCCTAGTTTGACCCTCGCCTGCCCCTCTCCATCAGTGTTGGGGTCACATTAGCTCAGTGATGAAACTGAGGGGAGAAGAGAAACACTGGAATACTAGTCAGTACCAGTGTGCAAAAGTGTATTTGCTTTGGAAGAATAAATCACCTCTAAAGCTGGGTGTCCTACAAGTGTGGATGTTGATATTAGAATAGTTTCTCGCATTTTAGAATGGGGTGCCCTTTTAAAATTATGGAGAGTCTTGAGGCACCCGATTTTAGAATGGGGTGCCTCACGACTGTCCATAATTTTAAAGGGTGCCTTGGGACTGTGCCCATAATTTTAAAGGGTGCCTCGGGACTGTGCCCGGGGACTGTCCATAATTTTAAAGGGTGCTTTGGGACTGTCCATAATTTTAAAAGGTGCCTTGACTGAAAAAAGGTTGAGAAACACTGGTCTAGGCATTACAATTTGAACCTTGTCAAAATTGCTCAAAACCTTATGCTTGGTTGATGTGTTTTTTCTTTCAACACTTCTTCAGGGACAATATGTTCACTTGCTGCCTAGTATATCCCACCTAATTTCAGATGCCATTGTAACAACAAAATCAAAAAATCAGTACTTACTCAAGTATGGAGAAGTATGTGACACCCTCAATGTGACAGTTCTGAGCCAATCACCAGCACTGTCACATGGCAAGAACCTACAGCCCTGTGCAAACTACTACAAGAACTTCTGTTATCTCACACTTAGTGGATTCTTCCATTCCTGGAAGAGGCAGCAAAGGAAAGATGAGTATGTGCGGCTGGGAAGCAGGATTAAAGTGAACCTGTTGCTTTGGGCTTTATGGGAAAACCTGAAATAAATCAAATAAAATAAACTCTTTAAGCAAATTATAATCTACTATAATCAGCTTTATTTTTCTTGTTCAGTGAGGTCAATATTGAAGATGCTGGATGGAAGGATGGACAAAGAAGCACAAGATTTTGTGAAGAAACTTAGAGAACTGGAGAAGTTTATGGAAGATGACTGAATTATTCTTTATACTGTGAAAACCACAATCTGTGTATATATTGGTCCCCTCAGCTGCCAGGGGAGGCAGCACAGTTGTGCTGTATTGTGCTAATGCCCCCTTTGAAAGGGGAAGACACCAAGCTTGAGTTTGATATGATTATATTTGTTACCTGTTGGTAAGTTTTTGGTCTATTTATGAGAACTAAAGTTTTACATATTAAGTGTTGGATGAATATTGTATTAATTAGTGTATTATGGAATTAATTTCGGTTACACCAGCTGAGTAAAAGACTTTTTTCATAAATCTATTCTATGGAAATTCTGGAATGCATCGCTACCTAGAACATGATGACCCCGGTTCTGCCTAGGAACCAGTCACAGGTATGGCTTTACTGCCATCTGCTGGTCACTAGCAATAATTTACACAACGCAGAACCCATAGAAAAGATAAAAATATTTGGGAAGAAATAACACATGTATTTTTTGAAAAAAAAAAAACGACGAACTGACAGAATGACTACCATACCTACCTTAATTAAATGCTTTTGAAAAATGTCAATGAATGTGCTTTTAACAGTTGAATTTCTACATTACAAGGTCAGCTAAGTAAAATATTACTGCAGGAATAGAACATTTCCTATAACATTCATGAAGATGAATTTGTGATAATTTTCTAGAAAATGGCATAACGTTTAGTTCTGCTATTGCCTGGCAGCTTTATGCTAGCACAGGAAAAGAAGAGGGGTGGTTGAGAGCGTCAGCTGGAGCCTATGACAGACAGATAGCTCAGTCAGTAGGGAGGTTGGGGCACAGCTGCAGTGCCTGCTTCTACGTGAATAGATATTGTTATTGGGAAAGCCAGTCTATCTCTTCCCTCTAGGTCAGGGGTCTCCAAACTTTCTAAACACAAGGGCGTGTTTTACTCACCTTCACATTTTAGGGGAGTCATAGCGTGACCGGTGAGAGTAGAAAATGTCTTGGTAGCAGTAGGCACAAACAATGCCCCATCTTTGGTATTAGTGGGAGGAATAATGCCCCAGTGTTGGTGTCAGTGGGAGGATTAGTGCCTCATCATTGGTGTTGGTGAAGGACTAATGGCCCATCACTGGTGTCAGGGGGAGGAATAATGCCCCAGTGTTGGTGTCAGTGGGAGGAATAGTGTCCCATCATTGGTGTTGGTGAAGGACTAATGGCCCATCACTGGTGTCAGTGGGAGGAATAATGCTCCAGTGTTGGTGTCAGTGGGAGGAATAGTGTCCCATCATTGGTGTTGGTGAAGGAATAATGGCCCATCACTGGTGTCAGTGGGAGGAATAATGGCCCAGTGTTGGTGTCAGTGGGAGGAATAGTGTCCCATCTTGTGTTGGTGAAGGAATAATGGCCCATCACTGGTGTCAGTGGGAGGAATAATGGTCCATTGTTGGTGTTTATTGGCAGGAATTATGCTCTACCATTGGTGTCAATGGGGAGAATAGTGCCTTTTATCAGAGGGAAGACTAGTGCCCGAAGGGCCAGATAAAGATAAGGCTACATCCGGCCCCTGGGCCACAGTTTGGAGACCACTGCTCTAGGTTACAAAATTCTATGTGAACCCTGTTTCACATAGGCTTGAGCTTGTATAGGATCAGTGTGCACAGCAAGCTTTTATTTATTTATTTCAAGTACTTATATAGCGCCGTCAATTTACGCAGCGCTTTTACATATATATTGTACTTTCACATCAGTCCCTAACCCTCAAGGGGTGTACAATCTAAGGTCCCTAACTCACATTCATACATACACATACTAGGGCCAATTTAGACAGGATCCAATTAACCTACCAGCATATCTTTGGAGTGTGGGAGGAAACCGGAGTACCCGGAGGAAACCCACGCAGGCACAGGGAGAACATGCAAACTCCAGGCAGGTGGTGCCGTGGCTGAGATTCGAACCAACGACCCGAATACTGCCAGGCGGAAGTGCTAACCATTTAGCCACTGTGCTGCCAAAGCGTTTGCAGAGCTTTCAGCAAGCTTTGCAGAAGCGTTTAAAGTGCCATTCAGTTTGGTTAGTGGCAGAGGTTCCGAGGGTGGTGGATTGGATAGAGTGGAAGGCAATTTCAGAATGGAAGAACTGAGAGGTTTAGAAGAGGATAAGATGGGAATATTTAAAAGAATATGGAGTGTTTGGTTAAATTTTAAAACCTCCGAATCTTATACAGAACTAATTAAAGTAAAGGAGGTAGCCTAAGAAATCACGATGAGATTGGTCGGAATAACAAGTTATGGAGAAATGGATACAGACAGAGAAAGATAAGACAATGATGAGGGGATGGGGGAGGATGGGCGGGGATGGGTGGGGGGGGGGGGGATGGAGGTGTTATAGAATGTATTTATTCATATAGGGGAGAAAAGAAAAAAGTATATTTTGGAAGATGGAATGTTTTAATGTTGTATGTATAAGTATGAAATAAAAAGTTAAAAAAAAAAAAAGTGCCATTCGGTACCAGTTTGTAAATGTTGAATACGGATCCTAAGGGAAGTGTTGAATTCCACTTTAAACCAGCTGCTGGCAGGCTTCAGCACCTCTTGAAGCTTGTTGAAAGCCTTCTAGCTGCTTGTTTAAAGTAACATTAAACACTTCCATTAGGATCCGTATTCTACATTTACAAACTGGAGCTGAATGGCACTTTAAAAGCTTCTGCAAAGCCTGCTGAACGCTCTGAAAATGCTTTGTCAAAGCTTGCTGTGCACACTGATCTTATACAAGCTGAAGCCCATGTGAAACAGGCCTAGAGAAACTGAGTGGAAAAGGGAGCTTGGCTTCAGAGTTGCTGAAAGAAAGTGTGTGAAGTGGATGGTAGAATGCCATGGACATTCAGGTGGGCGCGCTGTAAGATGTCTATTGTATTTGAAATAGAAATCCACTGTGTGCCTAGAATTCTTACTTGCAGGAACAAATAGGAGTCCTCACCTCTTACAATTCCTTTGTAAACAACAGAAACAAATCGTATCTGCTGCATACAATGCCTGGGCTACTGTCATCCATACATCTATGGAACGTGAAATTGTTCCCATAGAGATCCACTCTATTGAACGTCATTTATGTACAGGCTTCGAGGTGTGATGCCTTCACACAGCTCCAATGCACAATGAGCACTCAGTAGCTTTTGGTGAACCATTTCCTTTCTTACAATGAACATGAACTGCAGCATTTGGCCACGTTCAAGTCTGCAGTCCAGTCAGATTCATCAAATAACGCCTTGGCACTTCTTGACAGAGAGAGGGCACAGTACTAGGCAGAATTATGGACAAGATACAGATACTGAATAAAAATCTACATTCAGCAAATGCAAATCTAGGTGAAAGTAAAATGTGGAATCATAAAAGTAAGAGATCAGGAAAAAAAAAACCTGCAAGATGGGTTGAAAAAGTTCACAAGTTTCATTCACACTGCATGTATACAAATTGATGGAAAAACATGCAGATTTACTTACATTCTGAGACCTGCATTTTTCTAGCACAGATCTCTGCAAGAACACAGAGACAATTGTTTTCTTTGGGCCCTGATCACACCACGAGGTTGGTATTATGTATGTTTTTTTTCTTTGCAGAATTATGCAAGGGCACCAAGAATACAATTGTTTTGTATAGGCCCCATGTTCACTAGACCTCTGAAGGTATGCTGTAATAATTGGCACCAAACTGTCAGTAGCAGGTCCTGTAAGTTGCAGGGTGGGGCCTGCATGGAGTGGACTTGTTTTTCCAGCACATCCCACAGCTGCTCGATTGGATTGAGATCAGGAGAATTTGGAGGCCAAGTCAACATCTAGAACTCGTTCATTTCCTCAAACCATTCTTGAATTCATCAGACTAGGCCATCATCTTGCATTGCTCCATGGTCCAGTTCTGATGCTCATGTGACCCTTGTAGGCACTTTTGGTTGTGAACACGGGTCACCATTGACACCCTGACTTGATCTGCGGCTACACAGTCCCATACGCAACAAACTGCAATGCACTGTATATTTAACACCTATCAGAACCAGCATTAACTTTTTCAGTAATTTGAGCTACTGTAGTTCTTCTATTGGATCAGACCATATGGGTCAGCCCTCACTCACCATGTGCTTCAACGAGCCTTGGCTGCCCATGACCTTGTTCCAGTTCACAGAATTTCCTTCCTTGAACCAAGTTTAGAAGATCCTGTCCACTGCAGACTGGGAACATCCCACAAGAGCCGCAGTTGAGGAGATGTTCTGACCCAGTCATCTAGGCCTTACAATTTGTTCCTTGTCAAAGCCACTCAAATCCTTTTGCTTGTCATTTTTGCTGATTGCGAGACATCAACTTCAGGAACAACTGGTTCACTTGCTGCCTAATATGCCCCACCCACTTTTAGATGCCATTTTAACGAGATAATTAAAGTGTCACTAAACCCAGAACCCTGCATTCACTATATCTGTTCTTCCACAGTACACAGAACATGGAAATGCAATTATTTTAGTAAATATAAACTGCTAAATACCTTTTCTCATCAGCAGCTAGAGCAGTCTTGTGACTTTTATCAGTGACAAGGAAAACACTGGTTACAGCTTGTAGGAGGAGTTTTCATTCTCCTGTAGGAGGATGCAGGACCTCCTGACCGGAGAGTGCTGATTGGCCCTATGCTGATCACATGCACTCTCCCCCCCCAAAAAAAAAACCCTCTCTAGAAATACACACCAAACTGAGCATGTGCAGCTTTCCCCCTAGGCTCTCTTCTATCAGGAGATATTTAGGAGACACTGGAAGAAGGGGAGGATCAGAGAAGACAGGATCAAACATCCTTTTTACACAATGCAGAGGATTAACCCCTTAGATTCCACAGCAGGGGCAGACTGACCATTTGGAAACTCAGGCACTGCCTGTGGGCCCAGGGTCAGTAGGGGGCCCCATGAGATGCCCCTGGTACCTTTTTCATAGGCTTGAGTTTAGTAAGGACACAGGGCCCCATGAACCTCTATTGCCCAGGGCCCCATGAGTTGTCAGTCCGCCCCTGT